CGGTACCGTTGGCGCTTCAAAATGCTATCGTTTCCAGTTGGCAGACAAAATTTCTACAAAATGTCCATTGGTTCAGAATGAATTGAGTGTTTTTAACGTCGTACCAGCAAATGTCATGACGACATGTAGTTTCCACAAGTGGTGAAGTCGCACAACAGCTAACGTAATGTGACGACGGTCCCCGCAGACGACAACTGAATCGGAGCTAAACAAATGTACTCCTTGTGTCACTAAACGTAATGTCATAACAATTCCTATCAAATCCCGAATATTCAGAAAAAGAAAAACTATACCGAAACCAACAGTAACTAGAACTGTAAGCCAAAGACTAGCTAATACCCCCGCTGTATATAAACCAGAACTGTAAGCTAAAGGCTTACTAAGGCAAAGCATTGTAAAGCAATCCATAGTCTCCCACCAGTAATGATTTATTGTACACTTATTTAAGTATACTGGTCACTGACATACATGTTTCCCCATGTCAAAACATACTTACATACCAAATTTTGTTAGCCCAGGTGAACAAATTTTGCTAAAATTGTCCTTTTAGTTAAGGGGAAGATGTCGGGACAAAGATTTTCTAACAAAGGGCCATAACTCCTTAAAATGGGTCAAAATGGGAAAAAATACTAGTCTGATGCACGACATCAGGGGGTAATTACAATATCTGTAAACTTTCATTGAAATCGGCCCAGTAGTTTATGAGGCAGACAAATGCTTATTCAACAAAGGGCCATAACTCCTTTTAAAAGGGTTGGAATGATAAACTTGGATGCACAACGTCAGGAGGCAGTTACCATATCTGTAAAAACAATTTAAATTGGCCCAGGAGATTAGGAAAAGTTGTCAGGACAAGAATTTTCAAGAAAGGGCCATAACTCCATAAAGAAGGGTTGGAAACAAAAATACCTGGATGGAGAACATAAGGGGGTAGTTATCATGTCTGAAAACTTTCGTTGAAATTGGCCGCATAGTCTTAGAGGAGTTGTCAGGACAAGTATTTTTCAACTAAGGGCCATTCCTTCCACAAAAAGGGACAAATTCAAGAAATAAAACCTGGATGCACAACATCAGGTGGTAGTTATCATATGTGAAAATTGGCCCAGAAGTTTTGGAAAAGTTGTGCGGAAAAGCATTTTTCAAAGAAGGGCAATATCTCTGTAAAAAAAAAAGGTCGGAATGAAAAAATAATACCTGGATGCACAACTTCAGGTGGTAGTTATCATATCTGGAAAGTTTCGTTGAAATCGGTCCATCACTTTAGAAGGAGTTGTTCGGACATTTTTTTTCATTGAATATTGATATCAAATATGACTGTTAGAAAACGTATAATTTGTTCAAAAGTCTCCAAATCAATGTTTCCAAATAAAATCGCTCCTCTTTTTGTGATATTCAATGGAATGGAGGAAAAAGTGTGGTAGTCCCACGGATCCACATTCATATCATACAAAATTAATATACGAAATGCATTTCTATTTTTTGTTTTCAAATAATTTTGAAACAAACACGATCGAAATTGATACTATTTCTTCTCTCTCTCTCTCTCTTTTTTACTCTTCGATGGTATACATCCTATTGGACTTTTCGTCTCCCTGGGAACATCTGGTGAGCCCAATGTTAGAATAGCGGGACCGAGTGAGAGGCCATGTTGCCGTATTTGGGACACCATCTCCATTTGACCTTAGCTATTGTGAGGACGCAACATTGAACTTACAAAAATACATTTTACGAAGTCCCTGAAACCATACCAGGCTAATACATTTTTCTGTTATTTTTAAAACCGTCGAATGTTATCATCTTTATCTAAAAATAACACAACACTTTATCGTGCAATAATTTTGCGGGACAGTTTTTGTGTAGGTGATATATATATACGTCTCTGCTTTCCCGAGAGTCAATTGTCCTAACTATTAAAACGGCAATGAATTCGTGATGTTTTCTATGCGCGGACTTATTGTCCATGTCGCAAATATAGCGAAAATAAAATCTCCGCGAAACGGAAGAACAATGAATGCAGTGGATAGCGCCTTTGCCTTTCACCAGGGACGTATAATATATACTGTCCCTGCTTTCACCAAGGCGGTCGGGGTTCTGATTGACTTTATTTAAACATATTTTATTGTCGAAACAGACAAATGGATGAGAGACAAGTTCTAACAGCTTACAAGCATTACATTTACATCACGTAACGTACACAGAGATAAATTTACAAAAATAAAAATATGGTAGATGTATTTTTTGTTTAAATCAACTTTATCACAAAAAGTAAAGGGGGATTGGAAGAGAAAGTAGATGAAAGACGGGAAAGGAAGTCGGGAGGGAGCTGATTTGGTGCCGATTGTAAAAGGTTCGTTTAGGTAGTATCAAAACACTTTGTTATATTCAAAAACGTCTGTACCGATTTAACTATATTGGTGTTTGTTTCATAGGAGTAAGTGTCACTATTTCCCCACAAAATAATTTCTAGATTAAAATCTACATTTAAATCGCGCAATGTATCAATTAAGACACGTCTTTGAATAACAAAATTTGAACATGTAAAGGAGTAGTGATCCGCATCTTCCACACCATCATCGCACAAACAATTTTGGGACCGACAAATTACTTCTCTAAATAAATCTGATCGTAAACCACTACAACGATGCCTTATACGGCCATGTAGTACAGAAAGATAGCGATTTCCAGTATGCAGATAATCAGGCACAGATGGAGGTACACGAGACATTTTACTCTTAACCCTTTCACCACTGTAAACCCTAATGGACTCATCCAGACCAATGCAGGGTAGAGTTTACTAAAGTTGCATAGGGGTGAAAGGGTCAAAAGTCTAAGAGAAACACCGGAGTTTATGTCGTAATCTAAATTATTCCATAAATGTATAAACGACGGAACAAAAGATTTTTTGTAATGTCAAGACGACAACGGGATGCCTGATAATTGTCTGGGTTTCTTAACTCCCTGTTTAAATCGCGCCTGCTTGGTGGGATTAGGTGTTCTAAGTAAGCTGGGGCCGTTTATTGTGAACATTATAAAAAGTACACAGTTTCTGCTCTTCTCATCTCTGTTTAAGTGGTTTCCAGACAGTTTCTAAATATAATGCCTCGCGTGAAGCAATGGTCGTAAGACCGGAGATGACCCTAGCTGGGCCCAATTGTACTTTTTCCAGGGAGTCGGACAAATGTTCGGAGCAGCCGTCCCAAACGCTAGAAGCATATTCTACCACAGGTCGAATACATTATATATAGAGAGTTTTAGGAGTAGATTTACTTACTTTTTGAGAAGATTTGATTAATTTGTTTACGTGGTCAGCCCATTTGTAGTTACCACCAAGAGTGACCCCTAAATGACGATGCGAGTCAGTGAACTCGATAGATTCATCGTTGCATACCAAGTTTGGTTTATTAGGGACATTTCTAGAAAAAAAGGGATCGTTTCAGTCTTTGCAGGATTAAATTTCATAAGCCATTGGTCGGACCAGTTCTGAAGACATAGTAAATCATGATTCAATGCTTGTTCGATTTCAAAAGATTGGAGGAAGATTTCTGAAGAGATGAATCGTCCGCGAAAAGTCTGACAAAAATTTCCATGTGATCAGCGAAGTCATTTATATAGAAGAGAAATAACAGGGGCTCAAGTACAGAACCCTGGGGAACCCCTGCTGTAACTGGTTTTAATGATGAGACGCCATTGCCATATATAACAGATTGTTGTCTGTTGCTTAAATAATTTGACACCTTAAGATAGCAGTTCACCCACTATGCCATACTGACGAAGTTTGAAGAGCAGACCTCTATGCCAGACTTTGTCAAATGCCTTTGACAAGTCACAGAATACAATACAAGAATATTCGTTTCTATCAGCAGCAGTGACAATGTTATGGTACAGTTCTATTAAATGGTAAACAGTGGAATGAGCGGGAAGGAACCCAGATTGGTATTTATAAAAAATATCATTCTCTCTTGCAAGTTAAAAATATACTTAAAAACACACCTTTCCATAATTTTTGACAGACAGCTAAGTAAAGAAATAGGTCGATAGTTGGAAGGAAGTTGTGCATCTCCTTTTTTGAATAACGGCAAGACATGAGCTTTTCTCTGATAGATCGATTAAACAACACAGTGAGAGGCTGTGAAATTGATCTGTCTGTAGCCTTCAGCATACGGTGGCTGATCTTATCAGGGCCAACTGCTTTTCTAATATATAGAATAGATAAAATATCAAAAACTTCTTTGCATGTATAGCAATATTAGTGAGAGAGTTTTGACATTTTCCCCGATCGGACGTGAAAAGGTATTGGGTCACATGCCCGATTACATGGGTTTTCTCTGGGTACTCCGGTTTCCTCCCACACTTAGACCCCCACGCGCTAACAACCGGGCTAACAAGAGTGATTAATATAAGTTGAAATAACTTGTTTCATAATTGTTGTAAAATAAAGTATATATATATATATATTAAACTTATATACGTATATACGTCTCTGTTTTTACTTCCAAACATAAATGTGACGTTTTCATGGAACATCATACTGCAAGCAACGAAAAAGTTTACCAAAGATGATATTGTTCCGAAACATGGTTATTGCTAGTGGGTTGTCTTTTTATAGCAGGAATACGTGATTTCTTTCCTTTTCTTTTGGTATATCTCCTTTCGTGTCTGATTTTGTGCTTCTATGTCGACGCTGTGTTATATTCTCTTATTTTGTTTATTCTTAAATAAGTGATGTAGAAAGCGATGTATGCTTCGTTCCGTATGGTAAAGTATAGATTAATCTCCCGGGGGGTCTTTTTTATTTCAATCCCCCGCCACTAGAGAACTCTCATCAAATAGGTTCAAATCGGTAATAAATCGCTCGAGTTATCCTGCTAATTACCCGAACAATGTGCCTAATTGACGGGCCTATTAAACCCCGTGTGTATACCTGTGATACCGAAAGAAGCGGTGGACTATATTTAGAACGGTGCGCTATACCATAGCTAGCTAGCGTCCGTTGCCAGGAAGTGGCATAATCAGCCCCTATATAGTCGTTGGGTCAGTGGCATGCAAGATTTGTCAACACTGACAATCTGCTCCGTATTTACACCTGGTAAACGTAGACGTAAACAACTCGAACTGGTCATTTTACCTGTGGATTGTTTGTTCTGATGAACCCTTGGTTATGAGTTTGTGTCACGGAGTGTGAATTTTACGTTGTGAATTTAATTTCGCTACATAACGGCTTGATCTGTGACCGACGGTCGGCGCTATGTTGAGCGCGCCTGGTCCGAGGCCCCATGTGCTTTTTGGGCAGGGTAAGAGTGCTAATACCCTTCTGACAGAGGATGGGTGTCACTATCCCGTCATCTCCCCGTCCTATACAGACCGCCTGCGGGCAGCGTCCGCCCCTTACGAGCATGGCAAGGGAGTACGGGCAATGCATAAAACTACACTCACCATAGCAAAGCCGCCCTGGGACCCCCGGGATGCTTACAAGACATCTAACAAACAGGTATGTCGTGTTCAATCATTTTAGGGGAACACCTTAGGAAATGTTGGATTGTAAAAGATTGCAATGGATAAGAAAGTGGATGTTTGGGATAGGATTATGTGATATAAAAGATGTTGCATGTATGAGTCACTTTATGATTGTGGAATAAGAGAGGTATTTGATAGAAGAGTTTTAGATAGGAGAAGTATTGGGCAAGACAGGTGTTTGATTATAGAGAGGTGTTTCATACATATAGATGTGATGAGTAAGAAAGATGTCAGTTTGGTAATATGTTTGACAAATGTGAGGTTTTTGATAGGAAACAGGGTGGTGTTGGATAACAGAGGTGTCGGTTAGGAGAGGTGTTGATATAGAAGAGGACATGTTATGCATAGGAGTATATAGGAGAGATAAAGTGTGGCATATAGAAAGCAACTTTTGTTGAATTTTCCTGTACAAGTTGGAAAAAAAACCTGCATCTGAATTAATTTTGTAAAACTGATTGAATGAAAGACCTTTTTTCTGACATCCTGTCAAATCTGACAAATTTGTTGGACCCCAACAGTGTGTCAGATTGAACAGGTTTCACTCTGTATTATTAAAATGTCAAATGCCAGTGGATCCAGTTAGAAGAGGTATTAACTCATTCACCCCTGGTGACTCATTTGAACTCTTCCAATTCAAAGGTTGGAATAGTTCATTATGAAATTTCAGGGGTGAATGAGTTAAAACCTGCCAAGTTAACTTCTAAACCAACTGTATATATGAATATGATCAATGTGTATGTACCCTTATCTCACTGGGTTGGTAGTAGAACAATTACTATAACCTTTTATGACAGTGTAGTAGAAAAAAATGATCATCTCTTCAACACCAATCTGACAAGCATCCTGTATTTTACGAAGAACATTCTCAAAGGAGGTCCTGTATGCTACACATATCACGTTATCAGGTCATACAAAAGTTTTTGAAAATATGATGTTGCTCCAGGCTGCTAGAAATCCTATTCGGGTAACTGATAATGACAGATTTCAGATTAAAAAGTTTAGATCACTCTTGTGAGAAAGCAGGTACATATATTTATTTTCTCTAATGATCGATAATTTTATTCAGATCTAATATCCAGAAATGTTATTGAACTTTTTAAGAGTCTTGTCGTAAATATTAAAAATAAAAAGCATGTCTTTTTTAAAATGTACATCACAAAACATTTTAAATACACATACCCAGGCTTGCATTACACCTGACAGTACATACTTTAAACTGTACACCTGGTGGGGTGTATATATATATATACATACACACCTATATACCATCTTCAATCATATCACTGAGCCGGGATCTGTATTAAAATCCTATCTACATAGTCCTTTTGGATTTGTAAAGGGCCTTTTAATGGTTTATCGTAAATGCTTGTCAAAAGAGTTCAGTCGTCCCTGGTCACTATAAATATTGACCCATTCACCGGCCGACTTGTTTGTTTTTAAATCGAGATCTATAGACCTGCTGCCATTTTTCAACTAAATATTGTATAGACCGAAGTGTGTAATCGTGGCTTCCTGAACGAGTTGACGATTGTCTGAGCAAATAGATATCTGGTACTCGACCACCACCCACAGAATATCGTATATCATGCCTGTGTTTGTTCACTTATAATCGGTACGATCAATGCTTTCAGTTTTATTTGAGGAAATTTACTTTATTTACCTGTAGAGGCGTCAAAAGATTGATTAGATTATGAAACAATTCACAAATTGTATATCTATATTTCATAAAAAAAAATATTGAATAGTTGCTCATTCTGTGAGATTTTGTCTTTTCAAAACTACAAATGAGAAAAAATATGTTTGTGATAATAAAAGTTTATCTGTTTCTATCACATTTGCGATTGTATTTTACAGACTTTGAAGTTTTATTCCTTTATTTTTTTACATATGAACTTGAAATAATCAAGTATTTTTTCAGTTAATTTTAAGACAAAATAAAACGCTTGGCCTGAAACTTATTAATATAAACAGTTTCCCTCCTAAACTTTGTGTTACTTACCTGCGAGTCTTGAGTCAAATACTCATGTTTTTTCAGTTTAACTTGAAATCAATCGACCTCATTTCCATTTGAACTGGGGAAGATCTATTTTTTTTGTGGTTTTTTTGTGGGGATTTTCCCCAATAGTTGCATTTTTAAAAGATTTCGTTCAATTCATTGACACAATCTGATTTGAACATGTTCAACATCGACAGTATCAAATACTTTGGACGGTCAGGTGGCACAGTGGACCTTTCACCTAGTCTGTCAAATGGGGTCAGACGTGGAACGGTAAGGGGTCACCTGCCACAGGGGTTTTCCGGGTACAATACTCCATTTCCCTCTACGTTAAAACCCCCTGCATGCTACCGTCCGGGCCAACGAGAGTGATTGATACAAGTGGATAGAACAGGTTCCACAACTGTTGTAAGATCAATTAAAATTTATTTTTAACAAATACTTGTTTAATATAAGAACATGTGAGTAATAAGCTTGGTGCCAAATATCGTATAAATACGAAATGAGCTCTCTGGTCACCAGTGATCACCCCTCTCAAGTCCACACCGATTTCACATTTCAATCCATCAGAGAAATTTCAGCCGAATGCTTTTACGATAAAAGTGCTCCGGGTATATTGATTTTTCGTAATCTGTACGATCGTACTGTACCATTATTTTATGGCACGTTTGATGGTCCGCTACACAGGTAATTAAATTGATTGATTAGTGAGAGTAAGTAAATTACATGATCAATTAAATAATCCAAGGTGTATATAAGCCATGTTTGGACCTCAGCTGTGTACAAGGAAGGTCTTTGTTCAGTAGATTCCAGTGTATTTCCTTTAAATTTGGGATAATCAATTCTTATTAAGCTTTATCAGTTCAACAACTCAATATACCAATTTTCAAATTCAATTTTAATCCAAATTATGATACATAATTTATCAGTGTTTTGATGTTAAAATTGTTGGACAGAGATCATTCTGAAAAAAAACCCGGGGACATAACTGTTTTGTTAAAGTCTAAAAACTATGAAAAATATGAAATATTAATTTTAATTCAATATGGTATTAAGCTGACAATACTTGTAATCTTTTGTGTGTCCTGGTACACAAATACACAGTACATTTAATCGATAAGAAAACATGAACTATATCAATAATGATTTAATCCGGCTTTGTGTAGAGTTGTACCTGTATGATTTAAAAGTTTTAATGAATAACACAGTCGTATTATATCTAATTCCAGTAATTTTTAATTTTTATCTAATCCAAATTGGAACTAATCTTTTATTAGATTTTATACACCCCTTTGAGACCATGTAGTAGTGGCCCAGATCAATGAATGGAAGGGTCTATTTGGATTTTATAGGGGTGAGGTGCTTTGTTCTGTTTGTTAAATAAATAAAAAAAAAATGGCAGCATTTAGAACTAAAATTTCATATAAACCAATAATTAAATAGGTAGTTGAGGTATATTTGGGAATGGAATCACCTAACAGGGAGGAACTTCAGGTAAGAAATATTGGCAGAAACTAAAGTAATTTTGGCAGTATACAATTTTTTACATCCAATCTAATTGAAATTAAATCTTCTCATAGCTCTACAAGTATATATATTGTCGTCGAGTCCAAGGAAATCCAGAAAGTGATTTCCACTTTCAGGATTTTATAAGCCAAAATTTCATTGGAGTATTGTTAAGGTCAGATGTTGTGTGAGTCGATGTCAGATGTTCGTGGCATGACATATAAAATAAATGCCAGAAAAATGTCGTCCCAACTGCTTTTCTGTCCTGCTTGAATATTGTAAATGTTGCCAGTTTAAAAAAAGAAAGCAATTTATCGCCATTTTCACAAGATAAAACTACATCGGGAAATGTCCAATAATGTACCAAGTTTTGGCAAGGCATACATACCACATTCAACCTAATAAACCTAATAAAGGTGGAATCCCATATGAGTGCCCACTATCCTTTTGTTCTGTTACTTTTCACATCCAATTTCACTATCCCATAAAAGTGACCCCTATCCTGCTTCTGGTGCAAGCATCCATTCCTTAGAAGGGCTTTGTATCCTTTTTATTGGTCAATGTTTTTCACCCCTTGTAAGTGCCTACTATCTTTTTTCTAGCCAAAGTCTCTCATCCCTTATAAGTGCCTCTTGTCCTTTTCCAGCCAAAGTCCCTCATCCCTTATATGTGCCTCTTGTCCTTTTCTAGCCAAAGTCTCCCATCCCTTATAAGTGCCTTGTTCTTTTGCTAGCCAAAGTCTCCCATCCCTTATAAGTGCCTTGTTCTTTTGCTAGCCAAAGTCTCCCATCCCTTATCAGTGCCTTGTTCTTTTTCTAGCCAAAGTCTCTCACTCCTTATAAGTGCCTCTTGTCCTTTTCCAGCCAAAGTCCCGCATCCCTTATATGTGCCTCTTGTCCTTTTCTAGCCAAAGTCTCCCATCCCTTATAAGTGCCTTGTTCTTTTGCTAGCCAAAGTCTCCCATCCCTTATAAGTGCCTTGTTCTTTTTCTAGCCAAAGTCTCTCATTCCTTATAAGTGCCTCTTGTCCTTTTCTAGCCAAAGTCTCCCATCCCTTATAAGTGCCTCTTGTCCTTTTTCTAGCCAGTCTCCCATCCTTATAAGTGCCTCTTGTCCTTCTTCTAGCCAAAGTCTCCCATCCCTTATAAGTGCCTCTTGTACTTTTTCTAGCCAAAGTCTCCCATCCTCATAAGTGCCTCTTGTCCTTTTTCTAGCCAAAGTCCCTCATCCCTTATAAGGGCCTCTTGTCCTTTTTCTAGCCAAAGTCTCCCATCCCTTATAAGTGCCTCTTGTACTTTTTCTAGCCAAAGTCTCCCATCCTTATCAGTGCCTCTTGTCCTTTTTCTAGCCAAAGACTCCCATCCTTATAAGTGCCTCTTGTCCTTCTTCTAGCCAAAGTCTCCCATCCCTTATCAGTGCCTTGTTCTTTTTCTAGCCAAAGTCTCTCACTCCTTATAAGTGCCTCTTGTCCTTTTCCAGCCAAAGTCCCTCATCCCTTATATGTGCCTCTTGTCCTTTTCTAGCCAAAGTCTCCCATCCCTTATAAGTGGCTCTTGTCCTTTTTCTAGCCAAAGTCTCTCATCCCTTATAAGAGCCTCTTGTCCTTTTTCTAGCCAAAGTCCCCCATCCCTTATAAGTGCCTCTTGTCCTTCTTCTAGCCAAAGTCTCCCATCCCTTATAAATGCCTTGTTCTTTTTCTAGCCAAAGTCTCTCACTCCTTATAAGTGCCTCTTGTCCTTTTTCTAGCCAAAGCCTCCCATCCTTATAAGTGCCTCTTGTCCTTCTTCTAGCCAAAGTCTCCCATCCCTTATAAGTGCCTTGTTCTTGTTCTAGCCAAAGTCTCTCATTCCTTATAAGTGCCTCTTGCCCTTTTCTAGCCAAAGTCTCCCATCCCTTATAAGTGCCTTGTTCTTGTTCTAGCCAAAGTCTCTCATTCCTTATAAGTGCCTCTTGCCCTTTTCTAGCCAAAGTCTCCCATCCCTTATAAATGCCTTGTTCTTTTTCTAGCCAAAGTCTCTCACTCCTTATAAGTGCCTCTTGTCCTTTTCCAGCCAAAGTCCCTCATCCCTTATAAGTGCCTCTTGTCCTTCTTCTAGCCAAAGTCTCCCATCCCTTATAAGTGCCTCTTTTCCTTTTTCTAGCCAAAGGCTCCCATCCTTATAAGTGCCTCTTGTCTTTTTTCTAGCCAAAGTCTCCCATCCTTATAAGCGCCTCTTGTCCTTTTTCTAGCCAAAGTCTCCCATCCCTTATCAGTGCCTTGTTCTTTTTCTAGCCAAAGTCTCTCACTCCTTATAAGTGCCTCTTGTCCTTTTCTAGCCAAAGTCTCCCATCACTTATAAGTGCCTCTTGTCCTTTTTCTAGCCAATGTCTCCCATCCTTATAAGTGCCTCTTGTCCTTCTTCTAGCCAAAGTCTCCCATCCCTTATAAGTGCCTCTTGTCTTTTTTCTAGCCAAAGTCTCCCATCCTTATAAGCGCCTCTTGTCCTTTTTCTAGCCAAAGTCTCCCATCCTTATAAGCGCCTCTTGTCCTTTTTCTAGCCAAAGTCCCTCATCCCTTATAAGGGCCTCTTGTCCTTTTTCTAGCCAAAGTCCCCCATCCTTATAAGTGCCTCTTGTCCTTCTTCTAGCCAAAGTCTCCCATCCCTTATAAGTGGCTCTTGTCCTTTTTCTAGCCAAAGTCTCCCATCCTCATAAGTGCCTCTTGTCCTTTTTCTAGCCAAAGTCTCCCATCCTTATAACCACCCCCTATTCTTTTTCTTGTCCAAGCATCCTGTCGGGTAAGAGAACCCCATATCCTTTTATCTGGTCATACATCAGGAGGTCAAATCTGTTAACCACAATTTGTGTCAATTTGCTTGAAAAAAATGTGTCTTATACGATATGCCTTTTTATTGGGAATATTAACTCATTCACCCCTGAAGACACATTTGAGCTCTTCCAATTTAAAGGCTGGACTAGTTCGTCATGAAATTTCAGGGGTGAATGAGTTAAAAGGTTCCACTATCATTTAATTTTCTCAAATAAGTAAGATCCCTGCAGGGTGCTTATAAGATCAATTATGACAGCCTGAAATGAAACTGAACTCTATGTTACATGGTTAACACCAATAAAAACAGAGATTTTATTACCCAATAAATTCGTTGATCGGATAATATAAAATAAAAATTCTCATCAAAATGTAAATGAGATTGGAATCGGGATGTTAATTGTGGGAGTTGACTGTTCCATTTACAGCAGAAAACTGCTGAAGGCTTCAGTATGTTTAAATTTGAATATGTTTTTAATGTGAAAAATAAATTACGATTTTTTTTACCTGGAATTTTATTTTAGCTCGTCAAAGGTTTGCTGGAAAGAAAAATGTATATAATATATTTCAGGTGTTTCTTGAATCTAAAGAAAAGAACTAATTTATAACCCCATATATACACTGTATGCATACAAAAAAATGTACCTCCTTTATTCATATATCTTGCATAGAATACTTATTATCGACTTTGAACAAAATTGATTTTTTAAATGATTTAAACAGCCAGGGCGTGACTTGGAGATCTATTCACAGTATCGTATGAATATTTTACCAGACTATAGATATACATTAGCAAGCCAATACATATATCATCATTGGAAATCAAATTGCCTCCATGCGTGGAACTACCTGACAAAAGCATGGGAAAATAATGACTGTGCTTGTACTTAAAGCTTCTATATCATTATGTTGTGTTGTGAAAGACCATTATCGGGAATATGACTTGCTTATGTATTTATGTATTTATGTACACAGAGGGGGTCATATTCAGCTGTGTGTGAATACATAACTGGTACAAAGTCATTTCAATAAGTAAAGCAATAATCGGAAACTGTATAATGAAAATTATATTAGTGTAATAAAAAAAAATGTGAAAAAACCTTTATATGTTTTAAGTCACTTTATTTAAAGTTTTGTCAACTTAACGATGTGTTAATGGAAATTTTAAAATGACAATTTTTAAAGTTGTGTTATTTTTTTTTAATATTTTTTGAATTTTTCTTATGATGAATATATTGATAAAATTTTAATGATATTGAGTTTTTATACGCCCGTCAAATTTGACGGAAGTATTATAGTATGGGGTTGTCCGTCCGTCTAGTGTAAACTTTTGTTTGTCCAGCAATCTTCTCCTACATTTTTCAACCCATCTCTTTGAAACTTAGTAGGCTAAATAATCATGATATGTTGTTGTGTTTCTTGAAAAGAATTTTGATTCAACTTTTTTTGCAAAAGTAATTGCCCTTTGTTCATTTCATTATTTGATTTTTTGTCCGGAAATTTTCTGCTACATTTTTTACAGCATGTCAGCTAACCACTCTTAGAATGATGCAGATCTTATTTCAATGTAAGAAAGTATATAACACTATATGGCATTCGACGGGCGTATATTGTTCCGCCCCGCGGTACTCTTGTTTAAATTTTGAAATAAATTTACTATCACAACATGGAAAAAATTGTTTACTTGACATTAAACTGATAAGGTTTTCAAAATGTACCTAAAACCTTTGTGCTGACAAATCATATATTCATCAGATACAATCATGTGCCCTTAAATAGATCGCTGTGCATGTATTAAATTGTTTCTTAGCCATTTAAATCTATCGTAACAGCAGGTTTATTTGCAAATGAATGCTATCTGACTAATATCTGACAACCAGCTTGAGTCGTGTGTTGATCATGTCTCAGGCGACTGAATGTCACAGAACATGAATATATACTTGTCATGTGTTATTAACCCTTTCACCCTTATGTAACTTTAGTAGACTTGACCATGTATTGATATGGATGAGTCCATTATGGTCTACAGTGGTGAAAGGGTTAAACAAAAAGAGTCCCAATACTTTTCTATTGTATGTATTGACAGGCTGTTTTCCTCTATTTTTTTTAATTTCCTCTGTATTCAAACAAAGACAATGACAGGTTGAAGATCTTTTAGGGAGTAAGAACATTTTGAAATAATATCCAGTAATGTTGGAGGCATGGTAGTCTAGTGGTAGGACGCCAGGTTCGTGATCGAAGGGTTGCGGGTTCGAGTCACGGCACGGCACGGCACTGTGTTGTATCTATGAGCAAGATACTTTACTCTGCTTGTTCCAGTCTACTTAGCTGTAAATGAGTACATGATTGGGCAGTGCTAGAATTGTTGTATGCTAGCTGTTAGCGCCAAAATGACAGCTCCGGCTGTATGCTCCCCAGGGAGTTTAGAAAGGTATTGGCTGGTTGCAAAGGCCCTATAACCACAGATAATAATTTGTGATCCACTTTGAGACGACCTAAGAACTAGGTTGTGATAAAGCGGTATATAAGAACCTTGAATTATTATTTATGTATTGTTATTATGGAAAAGTTGCATAGTAAAAATCTGAACTGGCAGTGCAGTGGATAAGCTCGTACTTTTATAATCAACGAGTCTGGGGGATCAAATCCATATAGCGTAGGTGTTTTAGTAATAAGGTAATTAGAGTAAATTTATATCTTTTGTATACATACAAGTTTTAAACCTTGCCAACTTTTTAAAATTTAAATGGGGGAGATTATGCGTGCTCAGGATTAAAAGCATAACTACAATGTGTGAATGTACACTCTAGGGAAAAAGTAACACTGGCATGGCATCTTTTGAGCTGTTCTTCAAGATGAAATTATCATATCTCAGTTCACTGGTTGAAAATGCTAATTTTTAGGATCCAAAATCGGGAGAGTAAATAGGGACAGTTGGCAAGTATGTATGTGGTAATCATTTGTGATCGTAAAAAGATAAGCAACTTCATGTCAGAAAAATGCCATATAAAATGGAACTCTTCTATGCTGGAGACATAAAAGAGCCCTTGGACTCTCTCCCTTAACATGGCCAGTTTTGATTGAATCAATAACTTGCGGTTCATTTCTATGACAGATAAGGACAAAATTTGTTGTTCCCGATCTAACAGGTTTTGCATTTCTTTTTATTCCTCAGGACTTCGGGGGCAGCAAGTCACTGAACCCAGTGAGACGTCCTCCACGATGTCCCTCCATGCACACGTCCCAGTGGGACATCGGTCAGAACAAGCAGGACAAGTATTGGGACACACACTACAAGGGAACATTCCATGAAAAAGACATCATACCGGTAGGGTACACAACATGGCCGGCCACCCTTCCTCGCTTCACAAAACATCACATTAAAAATGTTTTAAAGTTTCTAACTGCTCTATTCAGTTCTGAAATATATTAACATTTTCATTTGAATTTATTGCCTCTAGATGAGGGGATTTGAAATCTGATACTTTTAGGTTTCAAAAAGAAATTTGATAAATCATTCAAGTTTGAAGGGGAAAAAAATCAAATTCAAATTATCTCAAAGAGATTAGCATTTTCATGGTTGCAAAGTTGCCTTGGGGCAATCACTTTGAATAATTACACATGTAGATTTTTGTTAAGTGATATTTATTCTATTTCTAAGCTTAAAATTGTTAAAAGATATTTAACTGTTTATTTTTCAAATAACTGCAATTGACAATTTTTTATGGATATTAACATCACAGTAATCAGTTTCAATTTTAACATACCTACATGAATATACATTTTGTAAAATATAACGATATGTGTAAAATAAAAATCAAGACAAAAATTGTCTTATTGTCTTAAACAATACAACAGAGAATTGTTTTGAAATAGTGCAGATTTCATTTCTAATTTCAATGTATAATATATTTATCTCATCTGGTGTTTTTGGTGAATTTTATTCTAGAACTTTTCTTTCAATTTCTGTTTCTATTCTAAATATGTATTAACCTTTTACTGTATTTAAAGGATATTCTGATAATTTTAATTATTTAAAATCTTTGTTCTGTACATATATACTGGACCTTTGTACTAACGGTATATGGGCACTGTCTGTTTCTTCCAGGCTACGGCACGAGTAAGTTTGTATATGTATATATCTTGTAGCTTGGTATATAGTCACTTTTAATTTCTACTGATATTGTGTAAACTTTTTAAACCTACATAGTACTGTTACTAGACAACTTATAGTGGTACATCATGTCAACATTTAAGGGTGTATGCTAGTATACTCTAAATTTACATTCTTTCCAGGAGAGTTCCATACGTAGAAACCCAAATACTTTCATTTATATATGTAGTTATTTAAACTTTATTCATTGATGACATCAGTGAAATGTAAATGAGCACATTTTTATTAATGATACTCAACATATCGAAATAATGTTAATTATTAAAAAAATGGAAGGGAGATCACTCTTATTCAAAACACATATTTGTGTGTAAAGTACATTATGTAGCATATATCCTTAATCAGACATGGTACTGACTTTTTTACTTACCCTGTACCAGGGAAAAATTACTGTCGGAACAGGAAAACTAAAGTAAGACAATTTTTTTAAATTGGTGAGTTGGTGAATTGGCATTAGGATCTGATAAATACTGTTATTTTTTTTTGTCTAAGGAGATTAATATCTCAAAAAGTATACCTAAGATTCATTATTGTATAGAGGATAAATTCTAAATTTTACATTTTTATGTTTTGAGCATGATTGAATTTTGTTTAGATATTTTTGAATGTACAACTTCAAATTATAAACATAATTTTAGCTGATACTTTCATTTTTTCATATCTTCACATTTCTTTTCTCTCAAAAAGATGTGTTACATATCTTTTTTTGAAAGGAGTGCACATTTACCATCCCTTGGCAGTATTGAATCTCATTTGGATTCTTCAATTTCTTAAAACAAATTTGTGTATATATTTCTCTGGATCATATCAATTTTTTTGGAAGATGAACAAAATGAAGTTTGTATCGTAAAAAATTGATAAAAAAAATTGGAAGTATTTATAAAAATTGTGTTATCTATGTATTCCTATAGATGAGAAAAACTCTAAAAAATACTCATTACTATTATCTATACCATTACATAATAAAGCTTGTGTACGACGCGGCTACAATAAGTTGTTATCACACTGCATAGCAAAATATAACCGTGCATATTAATGTTGCTTACCATATCTAATTTCTAAGTATTATTATTACTTTACTAAATGGTTCTAGAATTAAAAGTATGTACCCAATTAATATTTAATATTGCTTTACGACTCATAATTAAAAGTCTTATTTAAATGTTGAATATAAATACGATCGTTTTTTTCTAAAACCAGTCATGGAATAAACTATCATTATGATATATATACATTACATTATGAGTTCATCATCACTTTCTATTGTGAAAGGTTTGTGAATTTATTGCTAATTTTTCCTCTATTGATGCATATATATATTTATATAATCTTATGGGTTTGTATCCTTTTCCTGTTTTTTGTGTAATTTTATTACTCCTTCAGGGTATTCATTCTATTTTCTAGTTTTAAAATTAATAAGCATAGAAGTATTTACTTCAGAAAACAATGGATCCATATGTATCATGGGTAATATTTGTCACAGAAGGTTGATTTTTAATGCCTCCATTATGAGTCCGACCAGATTCCTCTGGTTTCTTAGTCTTACACTCTACCGAATGAGCTAAAGAGATATATAATGCTCCCAAGCCGAGTCGGTAGAAAGTAGCTGTAGTATTTTACCAGGGTGACATACTCCCCCTACAGGAAAGAACTCGTCCTGAGTCTTCCAGGGGTCAAAGCAATTCTTGTGAAAGTAATGCTGAGTACATTTGTCAACATTTTTCAGGTGTCTACATAGGCACCAATGTCACAAAGGTTATTGTTTTTTCAATGGCTCCACTAGGTTTCGAACCCTGGACAATTGTTTACTAGTACATGTATTACACTCTCCCAAATGAGCTAGAGAGAAGTTCTCCCTAGCAGGGGTTAGTAAGAAGCATGCACAATTCGTCAGTATTAGGATGTGATATATTGGAAATGCATTAGAATAGTTTGGATAGGCTTGACTAGTCACGTGGTTGTATTGGGGTTTCCCAAGGTTAAAATTCACAGCTCGCTGCACCGGCAAAATAACAAATGGACAAGTTGCTGATGTTGCCCTTAGAGAGTATGACCCAAAACCTGCTGTGACAAGATGGTGGTTGTCGGGACAAACACAGAAAAGACCAAATACTCTACCATATGGAGCAAGAAACTAAGATGCAGTTTCTATCCTATATCTTAGAATAGCCTGAGCAGGCCAGCATCCTTTCGCAGCAAGGTTTGCGTTATGTATACATCCCAATGACCATAATTTAAAATGTCAGTTAATACTGTGTTGTTTCAGAATTTAATTCTAAGTTAACATGTATAATAAAGTTGGAAAAATGCAAATTGCAAGTTGTTTTCTCATTTAGGAAGTACGAAAAAATACCACTTGCGAAAAAATGCAAGTAGAAAATCTGGTTAAATTCGAACCCTGATATATAAAGGATGATTTGATAAATTTGATTTAATAATATTTCAAACATTTGAAAGTGCAATATGCTACTTTTCAGGGCCGTTACAACAAATTTAAGGTAAAGAGGTTGAAAGTCAAGAGTACATTTTCATTTGAATGAATTTGCTCCGAGCTGGACACTGCTCTACACATAGTCATTAAATTGACCTTTCACCTCAGTCAAACTCACATATAGGTCAAGGTCAATCTTGTGTTGTAGGAAGATTTTGCAGACTCTAGAAATAGAGAAATAATTTGATTGACCGGTCGTGGAAATGTACCATACAAGTTTCATTACATAAAATGTAAAAATTGGAATAAAACAGAGACAAGTTTAAGGAAGTCACCTGCCTAAATTATACTGTGACAAACATGTCTCTTCTTTCAAAAGAGTTCCGCACTAAGAAACAGTAATTGGTGACATATTTGAAAGGTACACAAGACTATACATTGATTCCAATTAATAAGATAAGGTTATTTAAGAGGGGAGATAACTCTACCATAGATTACATACCTCATGTATATAAGAGCATTTACCTCCTTGAGGTATATTTTATTTAGTTTGAAAAAAATAAGGTCACCTTTGAAGATCCTATACTTATGAATGAACATTATGATCAGATTTATTGAAAACCAAAATAGATGTTTTTAAAAGAAAAAATGAATTTATTTGTTTAAACATCACTTTTGGTTTTTCAATAAATCTGATCTTAATGTAATATTTAGAAGTCCTCAGACATTGTTTGGTGTACCTGACCATATTTATTGTAAAAGGCTAAGTATTCATATTGTTTTGCCTTGATTTGTCCTGTAAACTCACTATAGATGTGTTTCGTTGTCTGCTATGTTTTTGTTAGGGATCTTACAAGGTGACGGAAATTGTCAGGATTGGATTAATAGCTTTCAGTGACGTGATGATTAATTGGGATTTTTTGATTATTAGCAAAAAAAATTGTAGGACATAATGTGCCACCTTAATATTATCCCTTTCACCACTGTAGACCATAATGGACTCATCCATATCAATACATGGTAGAGTCTACTAAAATGACATAGGGGTGAAAGGGTTAATGCTAGAAAATGTGCTGTTAAAAAAAAGGGATTTGTTGAATGATAGATTGCTCCCCATTCCATTTTCCACCTTGCTGTCTGCCAACATATTTCAACATCCCAATTTTGGTTTTTTTTCTTAACAGTTCCTTTGAACTTCTACTTCAATATATTGCCAAAATTCTTATTCAGGGCACACCCCTGTATAATGCCAACATTTAACTGGACACAAAATGGCAGAATAAGGGTTTTTTACTTATATATACATAGATGCATAGCATATATATATTGCAATCTTTTCTTTCAGACAAACCAGAATTTGTTTCACAAAATTGATCTGGTTTTTTTAAACAATAAGAAATGCTTCCTTTCGACATCTGTTTTTTTAGTAATGCTTTCAATAATGGCATTAAATAGCAACATTTTTTTTAATGAAACAAGTATTTAAGTCTACAAGACATCATAAGTATCAGTACATGTATGTATAGCAAGAATGATTGTGACACACATTTTGTCGTGATATGAATTCCGTGTCATATTGTATGTAAGCTCTGGTTGGCTGCTACATCTATACACCTGTGTCTTACCAGGCCAGTTCCGTATCATATTGTATGTAAGCTCTGATTGGCTGCTACATCTATACACCTGTGTCTTACCAGGCCAATCGTCTGCATATGACGTCACTGGTGAACAGAATTGACCAGACGGAGGGCGCGGATATGAAGGACACGATAAAGTCGGACAAGAATCACCCGAATTACTGGTCACAGTATGGACGTATCCACAACAAGCTCGGACACATGTTGGGGACGGGCGTGGCTCGTGAACCGCCGGTACGGAGAAGTTACAACGTGATCACAGGTAGGTCTAGGAATCGGGCGTGGAAAGGTGAAGTTTTTATCGCATGTTCTTCTAGAAATCGGGCGTAAAACAACCACTTTCATCCGAGTCACAATATTTTTTACAGTTAATTGTAGAAATCGGGTGTAAAAAGATTACATTTTAATTACATGTAGGTATAGACATCTAAGCCCAAATTTATCAAAGCTACAATATTCTTTTAAAGGTCATTCTAGAAAATAAGTTAAAAAAAAGATGAAATTTTAATCTCTGGTTTGTTTAAAAATCTGTTCTACTACAAAACATTTTATTGAAGAATTGAATGTTATCATCACATTTTGTGAAGGAAGTGTAGACTATATGAATCACGTCAGTCAAATTCTAGCGAAGTCTGTCAACTGACGCAACATCGTAAGTTCGCAATATGGTAGAGCATGACATTTATAATGTCAAAATTTTCACAATATAACAGCGGATGACGATATGTAAAAATGTTTTTTTTTAAATGGCTCATAATATGTAAATCTAACATTTTAATTACAATTGTATCACACCTTTTAAAGTAAATATTGAAGAAATGAATGATATGATGTGACAAGAATTGGAATCAGGTGTTGAATGAAGACACATACCTACACTAATAGTATTGTCAGATATTGTTAGACTTTGATCCATAAGGTGGTCAGGAGGGGTGGGGGGCAATGGATAGTGGGTCACCTTTCAACTAGACAGCTGGGGTTTGATTCCTTAATCATGAGAAGGTATTTGGGTCACCTGCCCAAACAGGTGGGTTTCCTCCGAGTACCCTGTTTCCTCTGACCCTCTGCAGCAAAAGGTCCCCAGTATTTGGGTCACCTGCCCAAACCAGGTGCGTTTCTCCGGGTATTCCAGCTTTCTTCCACATTAAGACCCTCAACATGCATCAATCTAGGCTGAACAAGAGTGAATAATATAAGTTGGAAAAACCTTCTTTTTTTTCTTCAAAAACAGTTGTAAAATAGATAAAAGTTTATATTAAATTGTCATTCACAGGTGAGGAGACAGGACCGGCCTGGGAGGATATGAATCGACGAGTATCAGGGAACCGAGTATTGTACTCCAATCGGTATGAGAGAGTACCGCCATTACTGGGCTAACCCCTCTCGGGCCAATCGCTAGCCTGCCACGGGGAGGGCGGTACTGGTGTATCACAAATCAAGGAATGCATCATAAACGGAACTGTATCTATCCAGTATACCAGCACTTAAGTGTCAATCTGTAACAACTGTTACGGCTTGCCACAGGGAGGACAGCACTCTTATACCATAAGATCTAGAAATGGTTCTATCATAAACGGAACTGTATCCATCATCCAGGGTACAAGCACTTGAGTGTCAATCTGTAACAATTAACTGTTACACAACACAGGTAGCAGCAACTGATGGCTTACCACAGGGAGGGCAGCACATTTGTACCGCGAGATCCTGCAATGGTTCAATCATAAACAGAATTGTATCTCTAAAATTTACCAACTGTTAATCCTTTCACCCCTATGCAACTTTAGACTCTCCAATGCATTGATCTGGACAAGCCCATTATGGTCTACAGTGTTGAAAGGGTTAAGTGTCATCCCATAAAAAAATGGTATGCAATTTGTAAATACAGAAATGGAACAGTTTACATCATTGTAGAAACAGTACGGAGTTCCATATGTGTTTAAGCTTGACAGGTACAGAATGTGTAGGGTCCGCCCAACTTTTTTCCTTCTGTGCAAAGATTTTGCTTGGCAACACACTTGAACTTGACTAACTGTTGGTCAATTTTAGTGAACACTGGAAATGTAAGACTGGACAGTTCGGAGGGGAAATCATTAGCCCTCCACACTGGCCCAGGTTAACAGACGGCATTCTGAACCTCCTAAGGAAGACATTGATACCTGGATTAAATTTTAAGACAACAGTACTGATAAATTTAGTTAAACTACAACAGAGGTGAATCTAGAGGGGATTTCTGGGCTCTAGAAGGTTTAGAAAGAGAAGAAACAGCGAGAGAAATCCCTATAAAAACATGCATTTCCCCTATTTGAAAATCCCCCTCAAGGACATTTAGAACCCCCCTCCCCAGACTTGTCTCTGTATCTGCCACTGCTGTAATGTAAGAGTAATTCTTTGTTATTACATTTTGAAATTAGGATTATCGGGTGTAGTTCATCTTAAATCATTGATGATGGGTGAGAGGTAGAAAGATCCCAGCAGAAACTGCTATAGTGTTACTGTGCAGAGTTTTGTTTTGTTTGTTTTCTATTTGTTGACAGATTTTATTTAGATTTATTATTGACACAATAATTGTTTGTTGTTCACACCCCTGCCTTACATTTAAATGCCAAATAGTATTTGATCATTATAAAGGCAACCTTACCTGTTACCAATAATTATTTACATAATGATAACATTTATTTACATTATTTTTTTAAATTGTAGATTTTTAGATTTGGAACAGATTTCTGCTTGGCAGATAAACGTCGTTTTCGTTTGTACAGTGTGTCAATAATATTACCACAATCAGAACTGTAGAACCCATGATGGCTAGATATTTATTGTCACAGAATTACCGAGATTAAATCCTGGTAATTTTTACAGGGTAGGATTTGGGTATAATGACCAAATGAATTTTAAAAGTATAATTTTATAAATATTGTACAGTGTAAATATTGTACAGTGTAAATACAGTGTAAATATTGTACAGTGTACTTGTAATTTGAAAAAAGCTTCCAGATAAACTATAATTGTCTGCTGGATGACCAGACTACTCAGAAAAGGAATGGACGTAAAACCACTTCAAGAATCTATTCATTAGGATTAACTGAACAATTGTTTTGGCTGGTTTTTTAAGTTCTTTGTAAAAGAAACAGTCAATCCTGTCACTACAATTTTCAAGTCTTCATAAGAATATTTAGTCAATCCTATCTTTCCAAAAAGGTGAATCTTCCAAATCTACAACTCCTCCTCTGGAAAACCCCCATTGAAATTGTCTATAGAGTAATGTGGAGAAGACCGCGTTAGGCGTCGTTAGTAACTTTCAAAGTCTTCCATCGGACCTCAACTCGATAGATAGGTGGTACAGCTTCAGTATTATTACATATGCCAATAATATATTTCATGAGATTCTCCTGTAGATTTTAGAAGTATTATTTAAGAATTTCATGTGTTTATTTTGTAGATGTGATAATCTGTGATACCATTATGTGTCAAAAAGCTATTTCTCATCATAGCCCTGGAGACTGTTACCAATTTATTTTTTTACGCCGTCCAGGCACTTTATGACTTTTGTTTGATGAGCCATTCATGTAAATCAAATGTTGTAGATGATTTTTTTTATATTTTTTTTTTTTTTTCCAATTTTCAATTTTTCATGAATAACACAATTAACACAACCAATTGATACTTTAATTAAAATGTGTACAAATGGGTACATATCAAATGGTTATACACACCGTATTGCTTTTACACACAAAATATAAAATTCTGTCATAAGTGATTATTCATATCACTAATATCAGAACTGTGCTCTTAAATCATGATTTTTTTTGACAGCGATGTTTAACTGGAATATTTCAATAAAAGGAATTAGCATCCTAAATCATCAAGATTTTTTTTAACTCATGTTAAGTTTTTTTTTTTTTTTAAATTAGTAAAGAATTTGAATAAAAGTTTAAAGAAATTCTTGTGGAACAAGACAGAATGATTTGAGTAAACAGTATACATTTTCTGATTCAAGGCAAGTATTATGCCAGTAAAATTACACCACTAATCTTCTGTTTTATTTTAATTAATATTTGATTTAGTTTATCCATTTCATTTGTTAACATTTCATTGAATCGTTTTTGTTTATGACATTTCATAATAAGCATGTTTTCTCATTTTACCCAGTGCAATCTAATAGTTAAACTAGATATGACATATATTTTTAATTTATCTACTATTTATTGTATTTATTTATTCATATTTATTCACCACCAATATTCCATTATACACTGAATATATAGGTGTTTTATGCTAAAAATTGAACAAGAATGAAAATAAATTTGAAGCGATAAAAATCTGCAGATAACCTGGAACAAGTGAACGCCTGAGACACCCTTTGTGTAGTGTCTCTTAGAATACACAGACCTAGGCGTTCATTTGAGCTACAATTTACGAATGGATAAATTGAGGGGAAAATCTGTGTTAATATGTTTTTGGTGAAACTGAAACCAGGTACCATGTAATTATGCAAGGAAGAAGTACAAATTTTCATCTAAAAGTTATGATGAGATTGATATTACTAATTTACCAATCAGTTTTAAATTAGTTTTTTTAAAAAGAATGATTATACCCCTTATATGAAACATCAGAAGAAACTCATATGGAGAATTTTCTAATTTTGATTTAGAAGTGGAAAATCCAAGAAGGGGTCCTTATTGATTTTTCTTTGTAAACATTACCGTAATGACATGTTTGGGGCATTTTAAAGGATAACCCATCAACTCATTCACCCCTGAATACACATTTGAACTCTTTCAAATCAAAGGTTGGAATAGTTCATTATGAAATTTCAGGGGTGAATGATTTAACCCCTTTCTTCTCAGACGTAAGAGTCGGAGGAGGAGAGGAGGAGTGTATGTGTAAGCAAATGCAGGTCTAGGCCTGCACTCTCGCAGAAACCTGCTACTGTTTGTCATATGCTTTTGAAGTCCTGCAGCATTTTGCTGTGGTTTTTACTACAGTACGACTAAATGTCACACAAGTTTGTGAGATTTTTGTATTTGGAGATTGAAATCATGCTATATGCTGTGTACAAAATAAACAAATCATTACATTACAATCAAAGTGCTCACTGGGACCAACACTTAACATTTTTGTTTTTTTAAATTTACATTTGATATGCTGCTGCATAACCTAACCTTATGAAATAAATTCATCGTCTTACTTACATATTAAGGATGTTATATACAACCTTGATATCGCACCATTTTGATTTCATGTGGAGGATCCCCGTACCACTGCTAAAAACTATTTACTATGCATTGGAAATATTTTTTCCAATATGACTATATAGCTTTGATAAACCACAGTAGTCAACAGTAATACCCCGCTACAGTTATATCAAAATCAAATTTAGGGGAGCAGGGCTAGAAACTAATTTTCAAAACCACTAGCCAGTTGAGCTAGTGGTTTCCAGTTTTACTAATAATCCATGTGCAAATTCCACAAATGAAATATAATTCAACATGATAAGCAATATCAAATTTTTACTTGTCTATCTGGCGAGTGGATGTTAGAACCAACAGTCCATCTGGAGATCTCACTGGTCTCAGACTTTCGGTTACCGTTATTTTTTAGCCTCCGGGGAGGTTGATGTATGCATGAAATCTACAGAGGAATTCTATAGTGTTTAGCCTGCAGAGGGACAGAGTGATCCTTATAAGGAATAAATACAGATTTGTGCAGTGCTGACTGCAGATTTTGGATTATAAATCCCTTTCACCCCTATGTAACTTTAGTAGACTCAACCATGCATTGATATGGATGAGTCCATTATGGTCTACAGTGGTGAAAGGGTTACTTGACTAGAAATGTTAGCTGTCTTGTTGAATTTGTGGATCGAGTCACCGTATCGCGAAATGGTATTAGCACTGCCTTAAAAATCTAACCCTATTCAAGATATATTCATAACCCTATTCAAGATATTTTCATAACCCTATTCAAGATATATTCATAACCCTATTCAAGATATGTTCTTTGTAAAAGAAGATAAATTGCTCCATTATAAGTTTTGAAGAAGAAATTAAATTGTGTAATGCCTTATCTAGTCATGTGTCCAAAATTGTTCCATCAAACATTAGACTGTTTTAAACTACGGGACTAAAGACATATGGTCCAATTTTTTCTTACTTTGTCATCTTGTCAATAAACAGACATCGTGACAACACTTTGCAGTTTGTTAGTTATTTTTCACCAACAATGGTAAAACATGATAGAGCGTGAGAAACGACTTGTATTTTCTGTGACGGAACATTTATTTGACAGCGTACAACGATGTTGCTCGCCTTAAGACTATACTTCGCAGTCAGTTGTGTCGAGGGACAGTTATCTTTGTGAAACATTTCATTAAATAAAATTAATATATATTTTTACAAAATGTGTTCAGAAATGTAAGTACAGGATATTATAACTAAAATTTTGGTTGATGTTATTATTCAGTCAAAAAAAAGGCCATTTAGAATGAATTCAAAACAAGACCAATCTCAAAGAAAAAAGGTAAAACTACAAGGTGCCATTTTATCAAATATGCTAATTTGTTCATACCACTGTAGGAATATTCCTTATGAAGTATAAGTCAAAACTTATCCGGAATTGGTGGTGGAGTGGGTTGTTTCATGCTACCTGTGTCTTATTTTACCAAATAAATGACTGGTTAAGAGAACTACTGGGCTTACAAATAGTAAATAAGCTTCAACTCAGGGTTTACTTGGCTATGCCACTGTGATGAGCTCCAATTCTATGGTCCACTACACAAAGAAACTGGATTTAGCTAAACATCTGTGGTTCAGAAACTGTGGTAAGTTGAGTTCTCTGGTCCACTTTGCCTATAAACTGGGATAAGTGTAAGTTATCTGGTCAACATGGCCTAGAAACTGGGACAAGTGTAAGTTCTCTGGTCCACATGGCCTAGAAACTGGGATAAGTGTAAGTTATCTGGTCAACATGGCCTAGAAAATGGGATAAGTGTAAGTTATCTGGTCAACATGGCCAAAAAACTGGGACAAGTGTAAATTCTCTGGTCCACATGGGCTAGAAACTGAGACAAGTGTAAGTTTAACTGGTCCACATGGCCTAGAAAATGGGATAAGTTATACATATAACTTATACTTATCCCCGTTTCTGGGCAAAGTGTACCATATAACTTATACTTATACTTATCCCCGTTTCTGGTCCACATGGCCTAGAAAATGGGATAAGTTTAAGTTATCTGGTCCACATGGCCCAGAAACGGGGATAAGTATAAGTTATATGGTCCACTTTGCCCAGAAACGGGGATAAGTATAAGTTATATGGTCCAGAAAATGCACTTAGCTCAAGTTTGATTGTCTTCTAGGACCAGTAACTGGTTCCTTGTCTGACCGAGTAACTCGGGTTAACCGCTGACAAACCTAGTTAAGGTTTTTTCTTCTTATTGAACACATTTGATCTGTCCAAACTTAAAAACATTCATTTGATCAAACTTGTCAGCACTTCACCTCAGTAAATCACAGATTTAACATGTACTAATATGTTAAAATTATTTCTCAACCCATCGAGTCGATAGCAAAATGTAGCCTGTAATTTGGTGAGGTGAAGTAACAGCGAGTAGCTTGCGGAAAGAAAGTAGGGCAAGATCATTAATGTTAACGAAGTTAATAACCCTTTACTCTAGTAATTATAATAATTCAAGGTTCTTATATACCGCTTTATCACAACCTAGTTCGTAGGTCATCTCAAAGCGGTTTACAATTAGTATCCGTGGTTATAGGGCCTTTGCAACAAGCCAATACCTTTCTCAACTCCCTTGGGAGCATACAGCAGGAGCTGCCATTTCGGCGCTAACAGCTAGCATTCAACAATTCTAGCACTGCCCAACCACGTACTCATTTACAGCTGAGTAGACTGGAACAAGCAGAGTAAAGCATCTTGCTTAAAGATACAACACAGTGCTGTGACTCGAACCCGCAATTTAACTATGAGGCTAGGCCATATGAATATATACTGATAAAGTTGATCAAAGACAAAATATGGATGGAATATTGTCCAATAAGCTCTGCTGTCGCAGAAGAAATCACCCAACGAAATATTTGGAAAGCAGAATTCCCTTTATTTATTTTTTAATATGAATTACACACAAACACAAAGAAATGAAGAAAAAAAGAATAATTTCAAAGCTATTTACATTAAATTGCAATGATTACTTGCAGTAAATCTTTTTCATATAAAGCATGCAGATGACTGTTACTGACCAATATCAAATCTTCACAGTAATAGTTGTTAGAGTTAATATACTGGGTAAATATTAAAGGGAGGCAAGTATTGGGGTATTAAAGATAATTTTACATATTTATTCAAAATGTAAATGTAAAATGTGCACAAGTTTCTGGAGTTATCTCCCCTTTGTTACAGTCCCCGTGATTTATTTCCCCTTCTAGCCCTTGTCCTCTGAATCTATCTCTTTCCATGTCCTTGGCCACTTGAGACACTTCACCTAAATCCTAGTTGCCTGAAACATCTCTCTGACACACTCGCCCCCACACACACTCATAATCTTTAAGCTGCCCCTTTTCCTTTGTCATAGTTCTCAAGTTATCCTTCTTTGTCCAATTATTTTGAGTTAATCCCCTTCTAGGAAGTCTCCTTCCTGATTTATCACCTTCCACGTCACAATTCACAGGATTTTGTATCCTCCTTCATCTTAGCACTCTGGAGTTATCCCCCCTTTCAACAGCCAAGTATTCTGGAGGGTTGATCCCTCTTCTCACCCTCGATACTCCACGAGTTATGCTCATTCATGTTCTCTGCACCTCGGGAATATATCATGGCAAAATAGAAGACACATGGATAGCTATTTGATTGGTCTCAGGCAAAAAAGAAAAGAATATTGCTCGGCTGATAACTGTCCTTTAATTTAGACTCCCTAGGCCTTTAGAGTTATCCCCCACCCTATGCCATAATTCCTCAAGAGTTACACTAAGTCACTAAGCATCACACTTTGTAAACCTTCGTCTCCTCAAATCTTGTCTAGGTGTTCATGTATGACATCTTTTAATGCGGCCCAGAGTTATTCCCCTTACTTTGCAGAAGATATCTCGAGTTACTTGCTCGACTTTCTCGGTCTCCAAAGTTGTAACCCCATTACCCCATACACACCCTTCTTGACTATTTAGCAGCAACCCTCCCTTTTATCAAAACACTTAAGTCCTTCTGAATCCAATCTGACGAAGGCTGTAACAAACATACATGCAACATAATACTACAAGTATCCTAAATGTCTGGGGGATAGTTATACATATGAACTTATTTGGTTTTACATCAGCCAAATAATTTCTTCCTACTTCAGGTGCAACTGTGCAGTTTCAAGCTTAATTTGAAATTTACGCAGATATTAAAGAGATATTCAATGCAAAAATATTAATACAGAAAAAACGTAGTAAATAAAAAATCGGATTCATCACATCTATATATGAAACTTTTTGGTTACTTCACTGTTAAATCTGACATTATTTATATATCTTCTTTCTGGTTAATAGTTTGGACTTTAAAATAAGTAAAATATTCGACTAAGACTAAATAAAGAACCGTTGGATTATACAAACAATTATCATATTGTTGAAGGCTATGAATATAATAACCATTAGAAAATTGAAATGTTTTTATAACTGTACATTCATTACATATTGGTTTAGAGGAATTAACAAACAAACAAAAAAAATTCTGTGATTTCACTATCTATAAGTGATTAAATAAATACACCTATTACCAATTCCTGACAATTTTTTTTTATATATATATACTGGCAGTAACTGCAATGCCCACACATGCCATATCAATGACAATAAATACTGTATATGGGAAGATTTTGTCCAGTCCAATATCCGCTCTGCACTGGTAAAATCTAAACTACCCCAGTATAATATGTTGCCTTTCATAATGAAATTATTATGTGTATTTAGTCTGCTGCATCCTAACATTTGTTGTCGTGATAAATTTGCAAACGTTGCAGAGGGTGAAATCTTCAAAATGAAAATTGTCCTGTAAACAGAGACTATGGCAGAACCAAGTCAATTTGGATTCTGTTCATTCAATTGAAAAGAAAATGGTTCAATACTGAGCTATCCAGTGGTCAACTGCTCTTCAAAATGAATGGAATTAACTTTCACTCAAACCAGAGTTTCCTAAATTGGCTTTTCATTGCAATTCATTTTTCACAGCAAAAGCAGTTTTCACTATAATTTAGTTTTCACTACAAATTCAGTACTCATTATAATCCACTACAAATTCAGTTTTCATTAAAATTCAGTTTTCACTACAAATTCAGTTTTCATTAAAATTCCCTACAAATTCAGTTTTCACTACAAATTCAGTTTATCAGTTTTCACTACAAAATCAGTTTTCATTAAAATTCACTACAAATTCAATTTTCACTACAAATTCATTTTTCACTACAAAATCAGTTTTCAATAAAATTCATTTTTCACTACACATTCTGTTTTCACTACAAATTCAGTTTTCACTACAAAATCAGTTTTCACTACAAATTCAGTTTTCACTATACAAATTCTGTTTTCACTACAAATTCAGTTTTCACTATACAAATTCAGATTCATAACAAACACTTCAGACTACTAACATTTTGTGCACAATTAATTTCATAACCTGAACATTCTGACTTAATTTACAAAGACTTACAGTTACTTTGCATTTCACTTGCTAGTACGATTATTATTTGTATGGTGATTGCATTTTTGATCAGTGAAAAACGCTGATTTATCTTTCTTCAAGCAAATGAAGATCACTCAGAATGCAAGTAATCTGTTGTTATCTGCAATAAAATTATGGCTTATCATTCACATCATAAAACATACTTCCTCATATTTAAATATTTAAATCAAAGAGTCAAATTTACAAATGGATTATGATTGAAGTTCTAAAAAGAATGAAAAAAAATATCATGAAAAACAAAATCATCCAAACATTGATATACCGGTAAACAGAAGTTGTCAAAAAGAAAATTCAAAGCAAATTGACAATCAGAAGTCAAAAGACAGGCACAAAATTATTTTTCCCTCATAGTTTCTAAACAGATGTTAATGTTGATGCAACAGAGTAACTAGAATCAAACATATTATTGTTGTATTTAGGCAAGAATGCATTGCAAATCATTACAGTTGGTAAATTAAAATTGTACATAGTAAGAAACTATCCACTTCAGTAATGTACTGGACATGTAAACTGTTACATACACTTCTAAATAATAATGTGCTGAAGGGTATGAGTAAATAAAATGTTGTCGTATTTTACCTGAAATGACGAACTAAAAAAAAACAAAAAAACATCAAATAAAGTGGAACAGCATTTTAAACTCAACTCCCCCCCCCCCCCCCAAAAGCATATTTTCTTGACCAATATGGCATGATGTTGAAGAAACTATGAAATTTGCAGGGTCCCCCCCCCCCCGCCTAATTGACTTTGATCATACTTATTTTGGCACAGTCCCCTTACAGCTTTCCAGCAGGTGCTCTGAATGGTATCACTAACATAAACATATAGAGCCAGCCACCATATGCGGTACATTTAGCACTGCTGTTCTTTACAGCCCCAGGAAGTGATCCTAGTTAAAACTAGCCATATTTTAGCCACGGCGAGTGATCAGAGTTTTAGCATACTGTAGAATCATTTATTTCTGTGGGGTTAAAATTTCTTGGTTTTCATATACTAGCCTAGCCTGTTTCAAGGACATTATATTTCACTGATTTCTGATTTTCCCCCTATCTATATCATACCAAATTTATGCTTTTGGTGGGGATTTAATTTCGTGGATTTTTGTTATCCACGAAATAAACAAAATTTAATGCCCCACGAAAATATATGATTTTACAGTAGCCATATTTAAGCCCAGGCGAGTGATCAGAGTTTAAGCATAGCCATATTTAAGCCCAGGCGAGTAATCAGAGTTTTAGTATTGCCGTATTTTTGCCCCTGCGAGTGATCTTAGTTTTAGCATTGCCATATTTTAGCCCCTGCGAGTGATCTTAGTTTTAGCATTGCCATATTTTAGCCCCTGCGAGTGATCTTAGTTTTAGCATTGCCATATTTTTGCCCCTGCGAGTGATTGGAGTTTTAGCATTGCATTATTTTAGCCCCTGCGAGTGATCTTAGTTTTAGCATTGCCATATTTTAGCCCCTGCGAGTGATCTTAGTTTTAGCATTGCCATATTTTAGTCCCGGCAAGTAATCTGAATTTTAGCATTTCCATATTTTAGCCCCTGGGCGTAATTTGAATTTTAGCCCCAGGGAGTAATCTGAATTGGGAGTAATTTGAATTTAGACATTGCCATATTTTAACCCAAGGAAGTAATCTGAATGTTAGCATTGCCGTATTTTAGCCCAAGGGAGTAATCTGAATTTTAACATTGCCATATTTTAGCCCCAGGGAGTAATCTGAATTTTAGCATTGCCATATTTTAGCCCTAGGGAGTAATTTGAATTTTAGCATTGCCATATTTTAGCCCCAGGGAGTAATTTGAATTTTAGCATTGCCATATTTATTAGAGCCCTGCCCAAGAGAGTGACCTGCATTTTAGGTTTCTCATTTTAGCTTTCTCATTTTAGCAATATTATATTGAAGAACCCCTGTGACTGATCTTTATTTTAGCACTGCTGTATTCAGAGCTTGCCATAGGGCCATCTTCATTCTAGCCATATTTTAGCATCCTAGGATACGGTCAACACTGTAGCAACTCCCTATTTTAGCGCCAAAGGCTGCAATTAAGGATTTTGGTGCTATAATGAATTAAAAACACCAAAGCAACCCTACTGATTTTTACATCATATAGAGTACGAAATTTCTCTTCTACTGAAACAGTACAATGTACCACAGTTCAAACACTTATTAGTGAAATAAGAAAAAGAAAAAATCCAATATGGCTGAAATCAAGCACAACTAAATCAAGTGAAGGAAAACAAACTGGAAAATCACTACAAAATGCGAAGGTCCTTTTAGTGATGTTCAAACGTCGGGTTAACAAAGTGAAGTTTTATTCCATAAAATGCAATGATATTGTAAGGGTTTTGTTAAAAATTGAAATGTTTAAATGTTGTTCTCTGTCAAGCGATGAGTCGGTGCAAAGCAAACAAACACTACTGTTATATGGGGATTACAGCAATCAATCTTCCAAACTAAGGTTAATATCAAGATTGCATCAATTTGATGCAATCAAAGTTACGAGGTTTTAAACAGTCTTAAATGTAAACCAGAGGGAACAAATATTTAGCATATCATGAATATAAATATTATATCATACTTTGGGATGAACACTGAAAATTTTAAACACGTCTCGCTTTCAAACCACGGAAAAAATACCCAAATAATACACGCAGGTATATTTTTAGCACGAATAATTAATTTATGAAATTCTACATGAAAAGTATGTTTATTCTGGTAACCTTTGCAGCAGGCGATGAAAGTTCACATTTTTCTTTGCACTACAAATCTACCACATATATAATGATGAAGAAAAAAAAAAAAAAAAAAATTAAAAAAAAAAAAAAATTAAATACAAAAAATAATTGTTCACACATAATGTTGAAAACAATAAAAGCCAAATTTTACATCATTTTTTTTTTTACATTAGACAATACAAAAGTACATAAGTAGACAACTCCCTACAAACCATAGAGTATTCAAAGCCACGGCTCACCAGCACACTAAACAAATCTAGTCTTGCTTCCGCTTGGCTCACGAGCTTTCCTACAGTATGGATTGTCGGGGACGTCTCTCTATGGCTTAAACATAGGTACATGGTCGACAATTTCTTGTCCATATTTACAACAATAGTTTTTTTTCTCTCTCTATTTTGTGCACTTCCAAATCCTGAGCTATATCATCCAGTGTCAGGATTTTCCTCTCGACTCATCCCGGCAGATCTCTCAACATCTACCGCCCCCATCGCAGTAAAACCGTCCTTTGGAGTAACACACGTTTTAGCACATGGAAATATTCTAATGTTTCTTGCGTCTTCTTTAAGCAACAAAACTTTTTTCCTGGAAAAAAAGTTTAGCGTTGATGTCTGATCTTGTCAGTTAACTTTTCTGTCTGTCGTCTGCTCGCACAACCTTCCGTAACATTTCCTCCATTAATTATTACTGGTAATTCATCTTGCTATCTAAGTGCAAAACGAGTCACCAGAGAGTCTCTTACCTTTTCTCTTTAGTTAAACCTTCTCCAAGACTTTCTGTAATACTATTAGTGGTGACATCCTTTTTTCCTCATGCGACAGATTCGAGTGCCGTTAGCTATTATGGTTTTTATCGATCAGAGCTATCTCCACAGAAAAGCAAAACTCGCTCTCGTATACAGGGCCCTCCGGCAGGGCCCGGGAGCATATATTTGTTGAGCTTTCTATGTGATGGTCACGCTTGACAATCCGCTTGGATGTACAGCTGGGCTTTCGCCTTTCCAGACATCCTCTCCACTCATTTCAAACCGCAAGTCTGCGACTGCACGGCTTGTAGAGATGGGACCAATGAAGGGTCTGCGAGGATTTGTTGCCTGTAGCGACTTTGACTTTGGCCTGGAGTATACTTCCATAGGTCGTTGTTCACACCCAGGGTGTCCATCCCTCGTACAACACTGACAGGTTGTCCAGGTTGGTGGCTTCCTTGATTACGAAGTCCACCTGGGCAACAGAAACACAGGTCAGTTGAGACAGCTACAGTAAAACATATTCTTAACGAAGCCTGGCTGACCTAAATTAGCAGTATTCATTGTAAATATATCCATATTTTGAAGTTAAATTTTTATATATACTGCTGGTGGTGACATTTTGGCATTATAAAGAGGTCTGATTTTCTGATTTTCTTTTCATAGTTTGAAATAATGTACTCTATGAAAAGGCAAACCTTTTAAGCAGCTATCAAAAGTAAAATACTGAACAATTCAACCATCGGCCATCTTGGATACTTTAAGAGACAAAGCTTACTGCTATTCACACAGAAATACAGGAAATCCACAAGCTTTATTTTGAAACTGACCTGTTCCGCCACAGACAAGCGTTTGTTAATGTCCGGGTCGCGCCCATCCAGTTTCATCTTGACCCGTCTCCACACACTGACTGCGTACGAGTTTCTCTCTTGGATGGCTTTGCCTGTCCTCGGGTCTCGTGACAACTTCTCTGGTTTCTTTGTGCTAACTGGCCCTGGAAACACCAAAAATGTCACTTGTAGATTATGTAGGAGATGGCGGTTTTATTTTTAATATGTACATCATTCACCTGAATTTTTTTATAATTTTGACAATTTTTGAAGGCAGTCAGGACTTCAACAGAGTAATTGTTTTTTTGTTAATATCATTTACTTCATATCCATGGATACATTTTAAGACACTATCAAAAGGTACAAGTGACATGAAGGGTCCCAGTCTAGGGGCTGTTTAGAGTGGTCTTATTAGTACCTACAGTAGACACTTACCCATGATCTAAGCGAGAGCCCCAGCCTGGGAGCTGTAGGGATGGGTATTGGTGAGACCTACATGCGAGACACTTACCCGTGATCTAAACGAGAGCCCCAGCCTGGGAGCTGTAGGGAGGAGTATTGGTGAGACCTACGACCTTTGGCGGACATATACCTGTGATCTTAGCGAGGGCCTCAGCCTGGGAGCTGTAGGGGGGGGTGATGGTGAGACCTACAGCCTTGGACAGACACTTACCTGTGATCTTAGCGAGGGACCCAGACTGGGAGCTGTAGGGAGGAGTATTGGTGAGAACTACGACCTTTGGCGGACATATACCTGGGATCGTAGCGAAGGCCCTAGCCTGGGAGCTGTAGGGATGGGGATTGGTGAGACTTACATGCGAGACACTTACCCGTGATCTAAACGAGAGCCCCAGCCTGGGAGCTGTAGGGAGGATTATTGGTGAGACCTACTACCTTTGGCGGACATATACCTGGGATCTTAGCGAGGGCCCCAGCCTGTGAGCTGTAGGGAGGGGTGATGGTGAGACCTACAGCCTTGGACAGACACTTACCTGTGATCTTAGCGAGGGCCCTAGCCTAGGAGCTGTAGGGAGGAGTATTGGTGAGACCTACGACCTTTGGCGGACATATACCTGGGATCGTAGCGAAGGCACTAGCCTGGAATCTGTAGGGAGGGGTATTGGTGAGCCCTACATGCGAGACACTTACCCGTGATCTAAACGAGAGCCCAAGCCTGGGAGCTGTAGGGATGGGGATTGGTGAGACTTACATGCGAGACACTTACCCGTGATCTAAACGAGAGCCCAAGCCTGGGAGCTGTAGGGAGGGGTATCGGTGAGACCTACAACCTTTGACGGCCACATACCTGCGATCTTAGCGAAGGCCGCAGCCTAGGAGCTGTAGGGAGGAGAATTGGTGAGACCTACGACCTTTGGCGGATATATACCTGTGATCTTAGCGGGGGCCCCAGCCTGGGAGCTGTAGGGAGGGGTGATGGTGAGACCTACGACCTAGGACAGACACTTACCTGTGATCTTAGCGAGGGCCCCAGCCTGGGAGCTGTAGGGAGGGGTGTTGCTCGTATCCCTCTGTGCCTGAATACTCTTCCTACATGGACTCGGCATGTCTCGCAGTTCTGATTTCTTCACCACTACATTAGCAAAAAGAATAGTTAATCGATACTTTTAAAATCAGTACTACCTGGTAATATTGAAATCTTTTATTTGATTTTTTTACCCTTTGACAAAATATAGACTGTCTGAATGGTTGGGTAAAATCAAGTTAACAGCAGTAAGTGGACATTATGTCACTGACTGGGTACATACACATAACCAAAAGTAGTCAGACATACTGAAGTTTTGTAATATTAACAAGTTGGCAGTATAGAGAGGTTTTACTGTACACGGCCTGTCTAATCACCAAACTTTGGCTGGGCGATAGTTGGCAGTATAGAGAGGTTTTACTGTACCCGGCCTGACTAATCACCAAACTTTGGCTGGGCGATAGTTGGCAGTATAGAGAGGTTTTACTGTACACGGCCTGACTAATCACCAAACTTTGGCTGGCCAATAGTTGGCAGTATAGAGAGGTTTTACTGTACCCGGCCTGACTAATCACCAAACTTTGGCTGGCCAATAGTTGGCAGTATAGAGAGGTGTTACTGTACCCGGCCTGACTACGTTACCTGACATGAAGTTGTAGTCCGCAGACTCCTGGTTATCCTCCAGGGATAACAAGGGCGGCGCTAGGTTGACAAGATCGTCGTAAATTCTGTAAGTACAAGGAAAACATATATCTCAACAAGACTCACCACTGGTGTATTTCTAACAATCTGAAACTAACTTGAAGGTGAAACATGGAAAACATGTATAGCCATGGGAATAAGGGAAGTTGCATGCTTTTATAAAGTCTGAGTTTGAATTCCAAATACATGTACTGTATTAAAGCGTACTTATTTTAGCACATTCAAATCTTTGTGCATTATTAACTTTTTTCAGACTGGCACTTTGATGAATTGGCGCATCCACAAAATATGAGATAGAAAGCAATGAAAAAGGACTTAAATTGGCACAATCATAACTTAACACAATATTAAAAGTGTGAAAAACACTTAAATTAGCAAACTGTTAAAATTTGTAGGTTTGTTCAGGGAAAGAGCCTCGATAACTTCTGTAAACTCTGGCCAAATCTCACTGCAATTTATGGCAATTAAATATGTTTAAACTAAACCAAGTTTTGAATCAGGAATAAATTAACCAAAATAAAAACAAGAGAAATGAATAGCACATTATATTACAGAAAGTTTGCAAAAGGAAGTTATGCAAATTATGTCTATTAGAGAGAGAAAAAAAACCAACAATATACACTACTTTCAAACAAATATTTCGAGTTGAGAGGGTTTGGGTGCGATCTAAAACGCTACGCTTTTGATCCATCGATCTCGACTAGAATTAATTCCTCTACTTACTGAGACACCTGAGTGATGAGGGAGTCGATGATGGAGTCTGCCTCGGCCATCCCCTCCTTCAGTACGTCCTCTGTGATGACGATCTTCAGAGCTGTGGTGAAATTCTCGGAGAAGTTTTTGTAGACGGACAAGTACTCGCGTACACTCCCTGCCACAGACAAGTCTCCCATGTCTTGTTCCTCTTGCTGAAATACAAAACAAGTCACTGAGATACACTGGCTAGGTATAAACCTTACAAGAAACTAGAAAATGGCTTCAAGCCAAAATTAAAGGCAGTCTGCTATAGTTACTGAGCAATTAGATCATACTGAACTTCAAAGGAAATTCATTTTTTTTTTTTTATCTAATTTTGATTGTTGAACAAATTAAGTTTGTACACATGGGTGTGAGATTCAGTAGTATTGAACTAAGACTTAAATAATATTTACAATCAGGTAGAATTTGAATGTAAAATATTTTATAATAGATTATTTAAAATAGAATATGTGCATACTTGGATTTAAACAGTTTACCATCAGATGGAAAACATCATAATACCATTAATCTCATGAATGAATCTGGATACAAGTTCTGGACGATACTGTTTTCTTGTCTCCCTCTAATGACTGGATAACATTGCTTTCCCCCCCTGGCAATGTCGGTCTGTACACTTGTCTTACCTTGGCCATAGACTTGAGTATGGTTCTGATTTCTGACATCAGTTTGTGGTGAGTACTCAGAATTCCGCGGATCGACAACGACTCCTTCTTGATGTTATCCTAGAAGCACAAGAAGTAACATATAGACCAGTCTTACCCAGAGTTCATTCACAACATAGCCTTTTAAATTCGCATAAATGTCATTCAATCTTAAAATTTAACATATCGTATAATATATCTTATTATTCTTAAATGTATAGGAGGCATACAGCAGTTTTCATTAGTCCGACTGGATTTTACGTCTGAGAGGACTCACCTTTGAGATATCCATTTCTTTTTTCAAGGTGTCGACTTCCTGTTTGAGCAGGGTGATCTGTTCAGTGATATCTTCATGACATTCCTGTAACCAGGTGTGGTTTGTCCTCTCCTCCTCACTTGGGGGCTGTAACATAATTATACAGAGTAATGTTTATGTGGTACGGTAAGTGTAACATGCACAGTTAACCTTTTCACCCCTATACAACTTTAGTAGACTCTACCATGCATTGATCTGGATGAGTCCATAATGGTCTACAGTGATGAAAGTAAATTTCAGAAGGTCGAAAATAAAAGACAATTCTGACATGTATATGAATACTGTAAAAGCATGTATTTTCATTAGGGTTAAATTTTGTTGTTTTTGTACGGGGACAAATCTATTGGGATTACAGAAAACGTCTGTAAAACATGAATGCCCCCTTGGCCCTGTGGTTGACCTATAAATAGCAAGTGACCTTGGTATTGACGTATTGACATTGGTACCCTGAAAATAAGAAATTCATCCCATGTATTTTCACACTTATCATGTATAAACTTTGACAAAAATCTGTTCAGAAATAAGTTGGTAAAGTCATGAAAATGATTTGGATCGCGATGGGACGAGAAGGGACGGACAGCAATTTCATTATATGCCCTTCCCCCAGCAAAATGGCAGAGGCATAAAAAGAGGAAAACTGTCCTCCTAGACACTTACATGATGTACATGTACAACATTATCGTTGGTAAATACTCGCTTACTCAGCGCGTAGTCAGCAGCTGGAACTCCTTAGCCGAGAACGTGGTCCAAGCACCGAATATCATAACATTTAAAAATCGCCTTGATAAGTTTTGGGACACTGGCGACAGAATGTTTACAATAACACCTGAGTGATGTCACATACATTATATTACATGTATATAATTATTATTTGAAGGACTGTGATCTGAATATAGAGGCAAATGTATATGCCTGCGTTCAGAATAATTTAAGTTAATCTAAGTTAAAAAAAAACTAGAATTATGTCAGTGTGACATTAAAGCCGCTCACCACTTTAAATTTAATTGCTTCAGTAACACTTTGAGCATCAATATCTACTATAATACCTCAGATATGTGTTCTGTATTCTGCTAATTGAAAATCAGGTCATGTGATGATGTTGCCTTTGGAATTTCCAAAATCAATCACCTCTTAAATGATGCTTTAAAAACATTTCTCCCTCTCCTCTTTTTTCACCCTCTTTTGTGACGCATTGTTGTAATTTTCATTAATTAGCATCCTCCAGTGATGTGACATGAGTATTTACGTGCAGAATGGCAATCGGTGAATGGGTAATAAAGAATAGGTGCATTTTGTGCTTGTGAAATGAAGGGTAATTAACAGTAGTGGGAAAACATGCATGGAGAAAAGAGATCGACATTGTACTCCTTTTTTTATTTTATTTTTATTCATATAAATAATAATTATTAATATATGTAGTGACTTTATTTACTGTCATTGAATATACAATTCATCACAAAATCTCACAAATGTTCTTATATTTGAATTATTTTTCTCAACGTAAAAGTTATGTCCCTTACACCGGATTGGATAATATATGACACGGCGCGAATCCTTGTCAAACATCAGCGGCAGTCGTGTCATGTTCTTAAATTGCTACATTTTCATAAATAAATACAACAGAAAAAGCATGCTGTATTACAGAAATGTTTGATAACCATACACAGTTCACATATCGTCTCGTCCGCGGTAGCAACAATGGTTAATTACCGTTATCAACCTAAGCACGATATGTCATATTACGTTTCCGTTTGAATCATCAAAATAGAGGTTATACTTCATCACTCATACGGTTTATAAGTATATATATTTACTTCTTCCTTGTACAAGTTAACAATATATAAAGAGCTAGACCGTACAGATAGCGTCAATGCTTGACAGTCTTCACATGTGCTTTCTCGAACCAGAGTCACGAAAACAAACACTCCAAACGCTCAAACCCAGTGCACGAATTTCACCACCACAACACTCGTAGAATGCACCGGAGATAAACATTTGTTTTCAGCAATTATTTAAAGTATGGATTATTATTTGGAGATGGATATCAGAAGACTTTATGTAACACAGGTGAGTGTCAGAGATTCTACTTTCTATTTTCAATAACGAAACTATATAGCGGAAGCATGCAAGACTGAATTATGCGCACGCACCCCGAGCGGAAGTGGGTCCGTCATTTCGTTCTCTGGACAGAATTAATAAGCTGCTCGGCTCTCGCCAAGAGCGGCTTAAAAATTATCAGTAGCTGCTGAATTAAGATTAAGAAGGTTTGACAATGTGTTTCCTACATTTGTAATGATACAGAGTGTAGGGATATTATAGGAGTTAAGATTGATTGACTGTAGTAAGTAGAGGCCAGGGTAAGTACGGGGTGTGAGGGTCAGGGGTGGTTTACCTTGGTGCTCATCAGCAGTATCTCCAGCTCTGTCACCGTACTGTCTGTGGACGCCGCTATCAAACAACTCTCGTTACACCTACAACCAGAAGTTCAACACATTATTAGATTTAAATCTAAATGTCTACTTTCTTTACTAAACTATATAAATGGACAATGAGACATTCAACACATTTATTAGATTTAAATCTAAATGTCTACTTTCTTTACGAAACTATATAAATGGACAATGAGACATTCAACACATTATTAGATTTAAATCTAAATGTCTGCTTTCTTTACGAAACTATATAAATGGACAATGAGACATTCAACACATTATTAGATTTAAATCTAAATGTCTGCTTTCTTTACGAAACTATATAAATGGACAATGAGACATTCAACACATTATTAGATTTAAATCTAAATGTCTGCTTTCTTTACGAAACTATATAAATGGACAATGAGACATTCAACACATTATTAGATTTAAATCTAAATGTCTGCTTTCTTTACGAAACTATATAAATGGACAATGAGACATTCAACACATTTCAATCTAAATATCCACTTTCTTTACATGTGTCAAATACATTTGAACTATTCTTCTCAAACTAAATTTTCTGATGGAAAAAATGGTCGTGTCAAATACATTTGAACTATTCTTCTCAAACTAAATTTTCTGATGGAAAAAAATTGTGAAAAAAATCAACCCGCTATATTATGGAATGCCTTACCTGTTGATGAGGTTGAGGAAATTGGTGTCGGAGGTGAGAGCCTCGGGGGTCCTGGTACGTAGAGCCTCAAGGTGAAGTATCCCCTGACACAAACTGACCACCTCCGTACACTGTTTACTCTCATCCTGTGTAACAACAACATATAGCACATCACTCCTTATATGACACGCTTCAAAACAACATGAAAAGTTACTGGTGCTGTTCAAGACTCTCAAAAATCCCATAAAAAAAGTTACACTTAAATTAGTTCAGTTTTCCGAATCAGCCATTCATCTGGTTTGTTTATGTGTCCCAGTAAGTCACCATCTAGATGTGGCTTACCCGGGATGAACAGTTCCTATAGCCCAGGGCAAATTTTCTTTTTTGCAACAAAACTTAGGACAAATTTCAAATTTCACCACATTTTCATAGAGGTGGTTTAACTCATTCACCCCTGAAATTTCATAATGAACTATTCCATCCTTTGAATTGGAGGATTTCAAATGTGTCTTAGGGGTTGAATGAGTTAAGAAATCCTTACATGAAACGTAGCATTCCTGATCATTTCAGAAGGTTGTAGGGATGCATTTGATAGTATTAATGTAACATTTCTACACAGCTGCATTATTTTTCTGGTGAGCATTTTTCTGCCTTTTTCTGTTACAATGTACCAGTATGAACTCTGACCTCGTATAGCTGTTTCCTGTAGGTGCTGTCCTCCTCAAACTGTTGAAGGATGAGGTTGAGCGAGGGGTTAGCTCCTGCGGCCCACTTAAGCCTCTGTATGATGCTGGCCTCCAGCTGGGCGTACCGCGCCTGGCACGAGCTGAAGCCGGTCTCCTGGCCCACCAACGACTGCATACACTAGAAACAGGCAAACAGAAGACAGATGACAGAGGGGGTGATTTGTGAACAAATACAATTAAAATTTAGTTATCTAAATCTTTCAGCTGTGTACATCTCTCAGTGGCATTATACAGTAAAACCTTGATGTGAAACTGCTTGTTTTATTTTCCACCTTGCTTACTGCCAACTTATTTCAATATCCCTGTTTTCGTGTTGTCTTGACTATTCCTTTATGTGTCCCCCTCAAGATAACACCAAACCTCTTTATAATGCCACAATTAAACTTGACAGCAGGTGACAGTATAACATGGTTTTACCATATATTATGTATCATATTTATTCCTCTTCCCCCACTAAACAGCGAATAGGACCTTCAACTCATTAAGGTACAGTTGAGATAGCCTCTTAGCTAGAATAGATTTGATAATATTTGAACAAATTTGTTAATCTACTTTAGACTTGTATCTAGATTCATTAGTATCTAATACCGGATTGGAAAGTTTTCAGGAAAATATGTTTATGATAACACCATGCTGACTCAAATAACTTATTCTGTATTAGCAATGTTCAACATTAACATACGGTATTCAAAATCGAAGTAAATTCATTTTTGGAAAGATTTAAAGATGACTCAGTAGTCAAAGAAATTTCCCCCTACGCATCTCCTTTGCATCAACATGTTAATGAAGCTCTTCTTTTTAATTTACAAGTTTCAATAGCAGCATAAAAATATTCTCAAAGCTATGTTTGTCAATTAGAAAAAATATCTCGAACCCAAATCGATCATTTCTTCCTGTGTACTGACCTTCCGCATCTCAGACATGACGGTGGAGCGGTTTGGAATGGCGAGAGTGTTGACATGGCGACCACCCTGTGAGAATGCGTCCTCGTGCAGCCAGAGTAGGCGTGTTAACTGGAGGTGGGCGCGCTGTAGACTTGCCTTCATGACCTCGATGTTGGAATCCAGGCGTCTGTTAGGACAACCATACACAGCATATAAAAACCAAATTTCGATTTGTATCTGCTAATAAGTCCATTCCTCAATCTTGAGTTGATTTTACAAGAGACCGTTTTAGGAAGTACACTTTTCTTGCATTGTACAGTGCTTAAATTTTGATGGGAATGGAGCTGAACGCAAAGTTTAAGTCAGTGAAGCAGAAAATATAGGTCACAGTGACCTAATGGATATATTGGTGTAGTACTCAAAATGTATCCACATATAATGTTTGATGAACGTTTGACTTAAATGGCATATTAATCAAACGCTTCAATCAATATAGCCCTGATTAATGGAAGCTTTACCTGGCCAGGTCATGCCTTCTCCAGGATGTGTCCAGTGTGTTGGTCAGTGCGCTGGCCTGGGTAAAGTGGAGGTGCTGGAACTGACCATTTCGGAGACAAACGTCCACAGCTTTCTTCCTCAAGTCTTCTAGCGGGACTTTCGACTCCGCGCCCACGTCCTTAAGGTCGATCTCTGCAGTCACATTCAAGCCCAGGGCATTCACAAATACACACACCAGGTAGCCGAGGATCTGGGACGGGAATCCGATCACCTGTTAACGGTCAAATGTTTAGGTCAAATGTTGATATCAACCAGGTCTAACAATAATAAAGACACATTTTCTTAATGCATATGAACACATAGTTTCTGAACATAAATGAAGACAATGACATACCTTCTCATCAGTGCTGATAAGAGGTATTTTCTGAGTACAAATGAAAGAAGTTTGGTGTATAAATGTCAAGAATGTGAGGTTTCAGACTATTGCAGATTAATGAAGTTCTGGTACATCAAGTGTATTATAGCTACAAACCTGTTTTCTGACATACTCGGCGATGAACTTCTTGATGGGTTTGGACAGTTGTTCATCATCAAAACAGTTACCTCCCTCTAATCCTGAAACGTAGAGATCACCCATTTATCATATTATTACAATAAACACATATAATACATACGGTTGTCAAATGTTTTTCCTGAGCCTGACGTTTTACCTTATGAAACATGTTGCTTGCATTGAAATGTCTTGAGACTTTGCCACTAAGCATATCTACAGAAATTTTACTATGAAATTCAAGGCCTTTTTAGGGCCTTTTTAGGGCCTTTTTCAGTAAAAACAAGGCCTTAAATCTCCTGCCATTTGCTAATGCTCACAAAAGAGACTCACCATACAAACACTTAACAACACTATAATCTATAACTGGGCAGCATCCAAAACATCTGGATAGGAGCCTGTAGCAATTTTTTAATTTTCTTGTAATTTCTAAATTCACATTTTATGAAAAACAGCAACACAAACCACCAAAATTAATGTACAACCATAATCACTTTTAGTCAAAATTAAAAGTAATTTTGACCCTTTAACCGTCAAGATATTTAGTTAAATTGTGGGGTTTTTAGAGCCAGTTTTTAAAATCTGACCAAAGGCTTACCTTGTAGATTGACGGCAAACTGGGTACACATGTGGAAGAACTCCCTCATGGCCTGAAGTCGTTTGATGAAGAAGAGACTGGACAGGTACCCCCTCGTACTCCGTGTGAAGGAAGACAGCTGACAAATTAAACAAAACAATCTTAAATTTTCAAAAATATGAACTCAATAGAACCTCATTCGTCCAAATTCTATTATACTCATTTTTACCTGTGTTGGGCAAGCAAGAGAGACGTAGGGTGCCTTAACTATAGAAAAGGCATAAAGCTTTTTCAAAGAATACTACTAATACGTTCATTTATGAAAATATTTCCTAAATATCAAATTATACCATATCAGACAGACGGTTGTACCTGCATTGACTTGCCCTCCCTGACAGCGTCGACCTTGCGCCAGACGTCTGGGACCTGAAGATAGTCCATCGCCTCCATCAGGTCGGAGAACTCGTGTTCCAGGCGGGTAAACAGACCGTTGAAGCCCATCAGTAGCATCTGCCCAGGGCTTAGCTCCTTGGAATCAACGTCTTGGCCCTCCAGTAGATCGTTGTACTGGAGTCGCATTCTCTTCACTGCTGTCATCATTTCCATGCTGTCATTCTGGAGATAAAACCATTGTTATCTATAAACCTCATTTACACTGACATCTTCTAAACAAGACTCCTTCAGGTTGTTTTTTACCACAGTGTTATCTGGTGTAAATTTTACACATTACCCAAATTTTTAAAACCAGAAAAAAAATCACCATTTTAAATAGATGCTGACTGGAGACAAAATCAAATCCTTGTTAAGAAACCACCTATGGATCTTAACTGAGATAGTTTCTTGCATTAATATATAGTTGAAGAGAAAATAGTGGTTTCTTAAGACAGAGAAGATTGCAAAATAAAGGTATCGGTGGTTTCTAGAGCAGATTGAAATGTAATTATCTGAATTGAATATGGAAAAAATATTAGGAACTGACACTGGCTATAGCCAAATTGAAACTAACATCAAAATGTAAATAGGCAGTAATATTGTCATTTTATTGAATGAATCTCCGTTGATTTATCATAATGTAACTGAGATTATTTTGTTAAAATATTCACTAGTGTTGAGCCCCCAATATTTTGTCTGCGATCATTCTAAAAACTTTTAATTTCCCCTCCCTTAGACCTCTGCTGTACAAACCTCCATCCCCATGATGGCGTTCCTGTGTAGGATCTCGAGCTGGGAGACCATTGTCTCCAGGGGGTGGCTGGCCTCGGCAAACATACGTTCCATGTCCTCCAGTGCGGAGCACACACTCGGTTCCGCACCTTGGATCGCCTTCAGCGCTTCGGGAAGGATGATCGTGCGGAAGTTCATGTTGAGCTCCTGCAGAGCTATGTAAACGTTGTGTGTGGACATCAGTGCCTGGTCGAGTGATTTGAAGTGTTCTAGACTGCCGACCTGTTACAGTAAAATGTCATGGTCACACTCAGTATACTGTGTAACAGAGCAATGGTACGTAACGATAGCCCATTACACAGTGTAACAATATATGGATTGCAGTTTGGTTGTGAAATGGTTTAAGTTCAAGCACAGTTAACAAATAATTTTACAGATTGATGTTAAATCTGAATTTTAATAAACATTATCCAAATAAGCTTGCTCGACATGATAACTTCCAAAATTGTACAAAATTGTTTTTAATTTATATTTCTGAAACTCGCTAGACTGATGCTCATCTTACATTTTTACTACAGAAAATGGTTCAAAATACACTGATTTACCATAACATCAAAACACTGTTTACATGTCAGACACAAGTTGCCCCCAACACTCGAGTGAGTTGAACCCGGGCCCACCAGCACAGCGGTGCTCAGACATGTTGAGACCTCACAGCCAACCAGTGCTGGTAGATGTACTACTATATACAACAGTCGTTCCGACAACAGTCCTCGGACAAGCCATCACTTACCAAGGTGTTAATCTTGAGCATGTCGATGTAATGCATGATATTGCTGCTCATGCTACACAGCTCGTCCAGGAACCAGTCTCCGTCGCGCGACGTAAGGTCCATCAGGCGGTCCCCAGCACCTGTACATCAGATCATTATTACGAGTAAGGATATATATCAACCAACTCCTTTTATACTCGGGAAATAAAACGGTGTATCATTTAAGATTTTACATACTATATACTGGGATATTTTTCGTTGCTGTTTATTTTTTGCCCTTTTTCGTCTGCTGTAATGAGGGAAAATTGTTCATTACAGCGAACATTAGTAAACAACATAATATGTATAGTAATTAAGTGTGAAGGGCTAACTTAACACTGGGCGAATATGGATTATTTTGGTGAAAAATAGACGAAAATGTCCTGGTATACAGTATACCGCCAATCATCAAAATCCATTCCATCTGTACACAGTCTTTATATACATTCTGATTTGGATATTACCCCACCAAAATACTTAGCATTTCCTTTCCACACCCCGAGACTTTCCACACCCCGAGACTTTCCACTTTTAAAGGAATGAAGCCGATACCACACACACAATTTAGCCGACCCAGATTTGAGCGGTGACCTACCTGCGGCGGCGCCCTCCATCTGGTTGTAGCGTTTATTGAGCGTACACAGGGCGGCGATGATCCATGCCATAAGACTACAGCATCCACTGGACCCATTCTCTGTAAACACAAACCTCCGTCATGAAAACATCCTAGTAACATCAGTAAACACTATGTAAACACTATTTTGTAAACATTATATGCTGTAATTATAACTAAAATGCTGACCTGTTAAGTAATTTATACTGGGCATCAACTTAAAAATGCGAGCCCATAAATAGTTTTTGTGACCAAATTTGAATAGAGAGAGTTTCTTCAAGATTGATCAAAATATATGATAGCTTCCAGAAGTCTTACAGAATAGAATTCGAGCAGCACTTGTCCGCCACACAAAACAGTACAGACGTAACCTTACAGAAACCATACCCAGCTTCTCTGGTGTACAGCTGGCATTACATGGATTGTAACCTCAAAAAATATGTTACACACCAATGAATGTCAAAAATATGACAACCAATCCTTAATTAATAATCAGAACTTATGTGTCTGGCTCCCTGGGCTTATTGTAGGATAAATACGGTACTAGTACCTACCCTGTACAAAACACTGGAGAGCCTTAGAGTTCTCCTCGATCTGGAGCTCCAGTACGCTGGTCTCCGTGGCCTCCGTACTCCGCCTCTCTATCAGCTGTAATGTAGTAGGACGAGGAAAAGTGATAAAGATAATGCCGTCACTGGGGCTCGAACCCGCGACCCTTGGCTCTCCAGCCCTATGCTCCGCCTTAATAAGCTAAAGGGAAGTTCCCTACAGCTGATGCTTGTAAGGCAACCTAATTAATCCACATCTTTTTACACTATTCCCCCCTTTTTTCAAACACCAACCCAGGTTCTTTGACTCCCCGCCAAGGATTCTCCTACCTTGAACGGGGAGGGTCAACGGCACCAATTTGTAGTAGGTCGAGGAATAGAGATAAAGATAGTGCCGTCACTGGGGCTCGAACCTGCGACCCTCATGGCTCTCCAGCCCGATGCTCTACAGCTAAACTAAAGGGAAATTCCCTACAGCTGACGCATGTAAGGCAACCTAATTAATGCACATCTTTTACAGTAACACAGAGCAGATCTGTTAGAACTGTCATAGACAAGACAGAATTATGATACAACATTAAAAATCATTAATATTAGGGTTCACCTCTATAAATGAAATCTACAGAGAAGAAAATAAGGTGCAAATAAAGATAAGTTGCTGTTAATATGATATCTTGGTTGGGTATTAATGAATTACATTATTTGAATTGAATTGAATTGAATTTACATACATAACATTGAATACCATGATTACATTATAATATCTGTTACACTATCTTAACATAAAAAACACAGGTATTTCCTTCTTCGTCTGACAAGGTGGAAACGTGACACAAATTTTTAAGTAGACAATCAACAATATACCAGTGTGTTACTTCTAAAGAGGCTTATCATGACTGAAGATGTGTTGACCGGCTCCGACAACAATCCTGAAAGATTGAAACTCGTGAAGACTCCTCTAAGAATTAATATATTCTGGGGTATGGTTGAATGACCACTCTACTTTTGTCTATAATCAATATTTTTGTCAAAACACTCCCACGACATATGCCAGATGCATTGCACTTTCATTTTTACTATTGGGTATGGAGGGCCTACCTTGACGATGCGGACGTTGATGTCAGCGCTGATGGCCTGAAGCTTGGTCTCCGTGTTCAGGATCAGCTGGATCTTGGCGGGTGATATGACTGGGTTTCCGTACAAGTCGTGGAACTCGCTAACAATATCTGTACATCTGTACAAACATACAACAACGACAGTGAGCGGAACACAAACATCACCTCATGTCATAATTTCAGCGATCGACTACTAAGTAATCGAGAAAACGTCTGTAAGACATGAATGCCTTCTTAGCCCAGTGGTTGACCTATAAATAGCAACTGTGACCTTAGCATTGATCTTGGGACCCTAAAATACAAGCTCATTCCAGGTATTCTCATTGTTGACCACACTTTTTTAAAATTTGATGAACATTTGTGAGAAATGAAGTTGGTCGAGTCATGACAAATTTGTTAAATGCAGGAAGACTTGCATTGATCAAGAACTGAAATATAATCACAGAGCTAACATACTTTATCAAACATGTGATGTCCTTAACCTAACTTTCATATATGGGTACTTGTATGGGTTTTTTAAAGCACATTGGAGTCCGGTGTAGAGGATCCTTCAGATCCTGTATTGGAAAAAAAACTTAACACATTTAAGAAATAACCATCAAATTTATAATAAATTTATAATTTTAAATTTATACCCCCCCCCCCCCCCCCCTAAATTCCCACGTTTTATGTTTCATAAATTCTCATATAAACTGATGACTTTCAAAGATTTTTTTGTCATAGAAACCTTAAAGGAATCATTGAGGGAAGGGCCTTAATTAGTTTTGAAAACTTTTGCCCAATACCAAGTTATTTCTGGCAATAGCAGTCTGACTAAAGTAATGAAATTAATATGAAAACAAAATCTTTACACTTTTTTGTGTGCGATTAATTTGCACAAAGGTTGGCCTCGTAAACAAATCTCACCTTTCACTTGCAAAGTCACACTTCAACTCCTGAAGCCAGCACAGGTAATGACATGTTCTGTTCTGCTCAGAAAAGGTTGTTCCAAACTAGCAACAGATAACAGGTTACAATAAGCAAAAGCACCATTTGTCCATTAACAACCTGGACTTCTAATTACAGAGTGTACAGTGAAACCTGCCTATCTGACCCCTGAGTATTCCGACAGCCTGTGTAACCCAACAGAATGCTGTAAACCCATTTCAAGGTGTGTTTTATGACATTCTGTCTAATCTGACGAATACGTTGTGCGATACAGGATGTCAGATATGTCAGGTATCACTGTACAAATTGAGGATGTTTTACTGCAATAAATGTCACGTCTAGAATAATTCATTTATCTGGTATCATTTGAATTGGAAAATCACAATTTGCAATTTCATATTTAACTGAAAAATAGCCTACGTTGTTTCCAGATGAAGGACAAGAGCTACCTTAACCATTGAAGCTATGAATATTTTTGGAGTTATCTCCCATAATTTCCTTCTAATAAGTATTATCTGACAAGTCATAATTAGCCGAGTGTTGTCAATGCATATTTCAATCTTTTCATCCATTTACTAAATTTATAACATCCATATCATAAATCATTCAAGATATTTCACAAGGTTTGTTTAGTGTGAAATTCTTTTGTAAAGGAGGTGCAGTTCACAGTAAGGTAGCATATAGCCTTAAATTGTCATTATTGTTTCAGAAGAATGATGTGACTGCGTCACCTGTGACACGATTTACAGTAAGGTAGGATATAGCCTTAAATTGTCATTATTGTTTCAGGAGAATGATGTGACTGACTCACCTGTAACACGATTTACAGTAAGGTAGGATATAGCCTTAAATTGTCATTATCGTTTCAGAAGAATGATGTGATTGACTCACCTGTGACACAATTTACAGTAAGGTAGGATATAGCCTTAAATTGTCATTATTGTTTCAGGAGAAGGATGAGATTGACTCACCTGTGACACGATTGTTGCGTAGGTGTGGAGGACGTCGATAGCGTGGTGGAGGTTTGATCTCTGTAGCTGCATGTAGCCGGTCATCTCCGTCTCCAGCTGTTCACACTGTGGACAATGGAAAATCTCAATATACCCGCAAGTAACATATACTCACAAAGTACATTAATCAAACTCATTGCCGTATTATACTATTTTTATCCTGAATCTTACACAAGATTTCCAGATACCCAAAATTTTTGTTTGAAATTCAAAAAGAAATCTGACTGGAATAGTGCTACTATATGTTTTGTATAATTTAATTCTGCTTAATTTTTTAATTTTTTAAATTTTTGTTGATGTTTTTTAAATGTTATTTGATGAGGACCTAAAGTCGCGGAAAACATATTTCAAAGATTTAATTATTTTCACATAGCTGTATTTATTTCTTATGAGAATTGTATCATTTTCATTTTACCTCTCATGAAAATTTGTGGAACACTTCAATGTACTGATCAAAAGTACTTAAAAAATCAAAGAAAATTCACCCCAACAAAAAGAAATGGTCTCCAAGTATTTTGGAAAATTATGTTCAGAATCCAATGAGGCTAACTTTTTTATTGTCACCTTGGCTGTCGGAAATGTACCTGTAAAACGATCTGGTTCTGACCCGCCCCCTGGAGGAATTCTGTCGCGGCAGCGAAGCTTGGAGCACCCAATCCGGGTGGGTTAGTGACATTAGCACACATCTTCTGGAAGCAGTGGCTCTGCAAGGTCTGGATGACATGCTGTGTGGGTACAAATAGGCACATATTAGGGAGGTATCGCTGACATGTTGTCCTCACCACTGAATGCAGGTTGATTCAGGGGACTGATCATATAATTACTACTTCAGTTAGAACTTTTTAACATGCACTACCTGTACTTCAGTAAGAACTTTAACATGCACTACCTGTACTTCAGTAAGAACTTTAACATGCACTACCTGTACTTCAGTAAGAACTTTAACATGCACTACCTGTACTTCAGTAAGAACTTTAACATGCACTACCTGTACTTCAGTAAGAACTTTAACATGCACTACCTGTACTTCAGTAAGAACTTTAACATGCACTACCTGTACTTCAGTAAGAACTTTAACATGCACTACCTGTACTTCAGTAAGAACTTTAACATGCACTACCTGTACTTCAGTAAGAACTTTAACATGCACTACCTGTACTTCAGTAAGAACTTTAACATGCACTACCTGTACTTCAGTAAGAACTTTAACATGCACTACCTGTACTTCAGTAAGAACTTTAACATGCACTACCTGTACTTCAGTAAGAACTTTAACATGCACTACCTGTCATAGCATTCGATCAACATGGCTTTGATTATACAGTATCATTTGTTAATAAATGATATGGAAATCCAATCTTGATTTCTTTTTTGTGGTGATGAAATAAATGTGAAGCCAGTTCTGTGATAAAAGAATCTGTTGATAATTGCATTCAAACTTTTACTCAATTACGATAGGGAAATAAGAACAGCATATGCAATTTGTTTTCGGTCTTGAGAAAAATCACAAAGTCTTCAGAACAAAGCAGGAAAACTGTACAGATTTATCAACAGGTCAATCGGTGTTTGGACCAGAAAACTGACATTTGTCTGTTTGCTTCACATCTATCACGTTAAAATAAACTTTTAGGTAAGGCAGGAAAACTGACCAGATTTATCAACTGGTCAATCGGTGTTTGGACCTGAAAACTGACATTTGTCTGTTTGCTTCACATCTATCACGTTAAAATAAACTTTAAGGTAAACTTTGGCCTATAGACTGCTCTGCTAGTGTACACACTGATGATATCTGTAACAGACCTTGTGCAGCTCCTGCCAGTGTGTGAACTCCTCGATCTTCTCCCTCATCACCTCGTTAACACTGTCCCTGGTCGTCTTCACCACCATGTATTCGTCATACCTGTACGAACAATAAATTTCTTTATTATCAGAAGATGCACAAATCTCATCATACAGTTCATCAAAATCAAATACTTCTCTATCAGATACATAGCTAGGAACATCATATAAAATGTGTTTCAGGAAAAGGGCGAAATATATGGATTTTACTCGAGAAGGGAATTTTTTGGTATCCCAGGTTATTTTTCCAACACGCTGATATTAATAACAATTAACAAATTATTTCAATTTAAACACATTAATATGTATTGATATCTTCCCCTGTTTCCACATCTATCTATGTCTAGACGATTTTAGGGCATCTCACTTCCGGTTCAGACAAACTAAAAACGATCGAAAACGGCTTGATCGTTTATCTTATAATATATTGGTTATTATAATATTTTTCTCTGGCAAACAGAATATCATAATAAGCGGGTTCCACTGTATATTTGTGTTTTCAGTTTAACAATATGAAAATATTAATATCTATCCAGCAATAATCCCATGCACCACTATTGCAGTTTAGTAGAAATGCCAACACATGCTACCTCCCTGTCCCCCAATAAGCCAAGCCTATCCCCCACGTTGGCTTATATTGCATCAAGCTAATGGACTCGATCAAGCCTGTCCTGATGGCTGTATGTGTATACTGACCTATCCTTGAGCGAGAACAGTGTACTACTGAGGTCGGTGAGAGCTTCACTCAGCAGCTCCTTTAAATCCTTCATGCTCTGTAGACTACTCAGATTGGTATAGTAAGCCTGGGCAATGCCCAGCCATCCCTGTACCTGTTGTTGTAGTTTGGGAAGGGCTGCTACCATCTCATCTCTATAAAATACACAATCAAACAGATGTCAAGTTTGAGTTATACAATGCCCATCATGTGTGTTCTGTTGTATTTACATTTGCAGTGTCATCATCGAGCAAGTTTTATTTGCCCCTACTTGTTCATTTACATCTGAGACGAGCTAGGTATGTTCAACTGACCTGTTTTTCTGCCACGAAGCCTTCATCTCGGCCATTCTGATAGCGAACATACTCGTGGTTATCTCCCTTTCCATCTCGTGTTTGGTCTGTCGGCCTTCCCCGGCATTGCTAAGTGCTGAGATTCCCCCACCGTAGAAAGCACCTGTATATCCCCCTTCGTTTCCTGTCGTCCAGTCGACTAGAGGATCGTAGACGAATGCCTCCAGTAGGGTGAGGAGTGTCTCGCGTCCCTTTCTCATCGTCTTCATCACATGTTCACTGGCGATACGGAATGTTCCCTGTAAAACAATGCAAATTTTCAATTAATTCTGCAGCTTTAAATTTGGCTGTTTATGAAAATTAGACACAAGCCAATGGAATTTATTAATAGAATATCTCCCCTAATTTTTATCAGTCCCCTACCGTTGTAACTGGGGGGACTATAGGTTTCCTCTCCGTCCGTCTGTGTACGTATGTACGTAACACCAATGTTTGTCAGCGCTCTAGCGGCTTCATTCCTTGACACTTCAACTTCACACAAATACAAAGGACCATAATATCTCGGACAAGTTCGAATTCAGGGTTGTTTGGTCAAGGTCAAGGTCACTGTTACTATTTTAAGAAAATCCTTGTCAGCGCTCTAGCAGCTTCATTCCTTTAGGGATTTTAATCAAACTTCACACAATTACAAAGGACCATAATATCTCGGACAAGTTTGAGTTTCAGGGTTGTTGGGTCAATGTCAAGGTCACCATTGCTATTTTTAGAAAATCCTTGTCAGCGCTCTAGCGCCTTTATTTCTTGAAGGATTTGATCAAATTCATACAGTTACAAAGGACCATAATATCTCGGACAAAATCGGGTTTCAGGGTAGTTTGGTTAAGGTCAAGGTCACGACTGCTATTTTTAGAAAATTCTTGTCAGCGCTTTAGCGGCTTCATTCCTTGATGGATTTGGATCAAACTTCACACAATTACAAAGGACAATAATATCTTTATATTCAGAGTTGTCAATCATTTTATTTTATATAATTCCTCTATCATAATACTAACATTACAATTTCTTGTATTATTATTACATTAAAATCAGTTATAAGCTAATTGTATACTTATCATTTTCCCAAATTAACCTCAAAGGGCACCATTTTTATAAATCATTACAGTGCAATAGGTAGCGGGGCCTAGGTTAATGTCATTCATTTGTACAAAATAAGTAACCTTCCACCCTAGTAAACTTTCGTGCAAACATCATGAATCTAAGGTTCATTTTCTGTAAAAGAGTTCTTGAAAATACAGAAGTTGTACCCAATTTGACCTCTGTGACATTAAAAGTAAATCCAGGAGATTTGATTAAGTTGCTGGCACTTCAAGGCATCATGCTACACACAGGACATATAGAATGACTTAGTCTTGTTGTTCTTTAGAAGAAAACCTTTCTGAAGCAGTTTACAAAGACCCCAGTAAACTTGAAAATGGTTCAAAGCAATTTATCTCATCAAATTGTACGGACAGATCGAGACCTTCAATCCACAAGTATCATGATAATCCTTTAGATAATTAGATTAAGTGCTCAAAAAAAAAGGTTCAACACAATCGACGTCTAATGAACAGAATAATGCTGCGAGCTTCTCTCCTTTTTTCTATACAACATGATTGTGAGAATCCATATAAACAAATTGGAGCAGCTGACAAATGAATCCTATTTAATGTAATTGCCATCTTGAACAATATGGAGTTACTGTTGTCAAGGTAATCTATAAACTCACAGCCATGCTTTAAGCCATGCAACTCTATTTCCATTTATTATTATCGTTTTTGTTCCTGACCAATTAAAGTAAAAATAGCAGAGATCATGACATTCAGATATATCAGTCAGGGCCTCCAAGAAAGCTGGGTCCACGTCCCGAGGCTGGGTACGTTGGTGCTCAGTACGTATGTGATCATTTCGGGGGTATGATTGTGGCGCGCTGGGCGTCATCGTAGCAGAACGCTTTCACAGTAGCTCCAATTTGAGCCAACCTGTTTGCCGTGGGTTGCATCTCGTATTCCTGGGGGAAGAAGATCCTGGGAGCAGAGTCGGAATCACTGTCAAACTCTTGATAGGAAGGAGACATGATCCGATATTCTGCAACATACTGCTTTGGCTTTGGACTCTGGGTAGACGAGAGGTGATATGGGCCCTCTATCACCAATCGGCTGGTCACGCCGAGCCCTTGGTTTACATACTCCCAATAAGGCGGTGGCTTAGGGTCAATCGCGAGAGTATGCTCTTTCAAATAGTATGTATATTCTTACGAGTATACTATTCTATGTATCTCCGACACTTGGCGCTGGATATCCGCGTCACACCAGTGTCCCCTTGTTGGGCTCCGTGGCGGGGGGGGGCATAGATCGTGAAACAAACAAATATACACATGGGGAAAGATAAAAACCACCAAAATGACGGACATAACAAAATCAGGAACGATGAACCTAGCTCAAAAACAACACAAAACGCAACACAGAACACCCAGTTCCCGCGATTCCTTGTGATGACCTCCACACAGAGTGGTAAAACAACAGCCGCGTTGTCGCCACTTCTGTTGAGGAAGGGCATCCAGGGAATCGCAGGGGATGTGAAATCTGTTAAGCCATTGGGATCGGGCGATCTCCTTATAGAGGTTTATCGCCAACAACAGGCGATGAACCTACTGGGAACAACCAGTTTTGCCGGCATCGGTGTCAGTGTGAAACCACACTCATCACTTAATTGCAGCAAGGGGGTAATCAGGTGCCCAGCCTTGCGCAATGACACCGATGAAGACATACTGGCATATTTCCAGGAGGAGAGCGTCCCGGTCTCTGAGGTGAGGCGGATGGTGATCAGGAGAAACAATGATACAATCAAAACAAACACCTTCATCATCACTTTTTCAACGCCAACACTACCCCAAATACTAACAATCGGATACCAGAGGTACAACGTTTCCGTCTACATCCCAAATCCATTGCGATGCCGAAACTGTCAGAAGTACGGTCATCACGAAAAGCGATGTAGACGAAAATCGATCTGCCAGTATTGTGGCCGTGAGGGTCACACCGAGCAAAATGACTGTGACATCGCCAACCTGCGCTGTGTCAACTGTGAGGGGAAGCACGCTGCCTCTTCTCGCGACTGCCCTACCTGGAGCCAGGAGAGGGAGATATTACGGGTTAAATATACCCGAGGTGTCTCTTTCCCCGAGGCCAGGAGGATAGTCGGGAGTGCAGACATTGCTACACCCTCTTACGCACAAGTGACTCGAGGCAAGGCGCCGGTTGACAGTGTCACGGTCAAGGATGCTTCGGTTCAAGTTTCTGAAGACATACCTGCCTGGGGCTCACAAGTCCCAGACATGGCTGGTCAACAGAACTTGAAAATCCTCACGGGGGACCCATCCCGTTTCACGAC